TAATTTAAATCGATTATAAACGTTTAATATGACATTTAATGCAAAGAGTAAAGTAGGTACCTATACGATCTTTTTTCACTAATTTTCCCATCGAAAATCAGTGTTGTCAGAAATATTTCACAAGATAAAAACATCCAAATTTTTTATAAATCTACTATTTATCCTTACTAATATTATAATGAGGAAAGATGTGAATGTTTGTTTGAATCGAATAGTCTACGAAACTACTGGGTCGATTTTAAAATTTCTTTTATCTACGGAAAACTACATCATACGTCACGTGAGTGTGGTATGCTATAATTTTAAGTTAGTAGAGAATGAATTGGTGATTGGGTTTTTAGAAAAAAAGCAAAATGATTAATAGAAGAATTAAGAATATACGTAGTATAATTCCAATTTTATAATGAAATCGTGATTTTGACAGGGCTGAAAAACTGAGAGTCAGGACATCACCAAGTCATATATATAATAATTGACTTTTTAATATAATTTGGTATTTGTTGATTTTGTATTATGTATCATTTTTATATTTTTGCAAGATAATATATTAATTAACTCCAATATCTTGTAACCGTAATGTATTATTATGTAATTATAATTGTATTGTAATTAAATAAATAATGTAATGTAATTGTATTGTAAACGCGTATGGAATATCTTAATTATAACAAGTGCTGAGCATGTCTGTGACTGTCATAAATTATTTTAAACATTAAATTATTTTTGTATTTATAATGTTGAAGTGCCTTAATTAAATAAATAAATAAGTTATAGTACCTAGTTAAGTTTCGGTAGCGAAAGAAAGTATAAAAAATAAATAAATAAACTTAACCTAATGAACAGATCCCACCGTGGTTGGATACAATATGCTCTTCTGTGTTCCTCATTTTTATAAGCATGGCTTTGGCTTTAATGTTTATGTTGACCATTCCATCGTGGGATCGTACCAGGAATTTATTGTTTAATTTTAAGAATTAAATAATAATGACAGCTACTGTCAATATAATATTGATTGTAAATAAATTTAAAAATACGTTAATTGCCATGATAAATATGGAAAAGTTTTATGTATGTCAAAACATTTCAATTACCAGCACGCGTAGCATGACAAACTCGAGAAAACAAATGAGACAAATTAGTGTAGACAAATCGTTTCTCGAGTTTGTCATGCTACGCGTGCAGGTTATATTAGTATTATATTATAAGTTTTATTAAGATTATGGTTGATCACCCATAACAACCTACCTACCTACTTAATAATTAAATAGAATCTCAATATATTTACTTATACATATAAAGTAAGCTATCGACTAGTAACTGTCACCTTAAAAATTGCAAACTAGCATACCTAACAGTTTGCGAAGCGGTTTGAACAACAAATAAAGGTCGAAGTCGTTTTAATTGATCCAAATTTTTGTTATCATGTGCCGTGTGCGTGTACGGCAATAGCAACCCATGTCAAATAGTACCTTATCGCCGTCATCACAGAGATGTATTTTGTTAAATATATATTTTTTTAAATGAAGTCAACAGGTTTTCTTATATGAGCAATTGAATAAATAATAGTGACCGGTACAAAAGTATGTGAAAGTAGCTTCAACAAATATGTAATACCTACATAAATGTTGTTTAAAGATAAAGAAAACAATTATTTATTAATTAATCGATAAATTTAAACTCGACCGTCCTTTGAGTACATGACCTCTTAATTAAATTGAAATAAACATGTTAACATTTCTATTTTGTTATTAATTAAAAATAACTAAGCACTCAGCGATGTCATTGACCATCTTCCACTTATAAGATAATAAGGTTATTGTATTCTGGCAGGCGTGACAACTGCGGTAATAACATTATTGTAAGATATTACAAATGTAATTGAATAGGTACGTACTTTTTATTAGATATCCGTAAAGACTGTAGTCATTGCGTCTAAAGCGGTCTTTTTATAATTTTATAATCGGATTTATATACAGGTACTACTCTTTTATGTACAAGCAACAGCATGTCAGATTATATAAAACTGTCAAATTTCGTTCGTTGGATATGTGACGGCATATTTGATCCATTTCGTAATTATTGGTCACGGAACCAGAACTGACAAATAACGTAAAACCCCATTGAACCTTGCACACTCGATGGAATATCGGTCACATACTAACACATACTTCCGTGAGACACTTGACGGTTCTTCGGTCAGATTTGCACCAACACTCATCTATCGTTTTAGATGTAAGTACGCTTCGTTTGTGGATCAGTAATCCATATTCACGCATATATGTGTTAGTGATTCTGCCCTACGATTCCAAAAAAAATCCAGACCCCCAAGTTTAAAATTCACTCATATGTCTGAATTCACGTCATTGAGTGTAGAAATTCTATTGATGCCATTTATTGAATATACGTGTCTCGGATATTCTATTCCTATGTCATTTTGAAACTCACTTCACTTATGCCACGAACCTATTCAAGGTTAAGCGGATGCCGCTTTTTAAAGTAAATTTGAGTGAAGTGTTGACAAAATCTGCAATTATCATTTTCTCTTAATTTCATATGACATTGTTGTCTCCATAATTTGGAGTACCCTATATGTTGTAGGTTTACACAGTGCACTGATTTTATTTAAGTTAAGCATTAAAAGTTCTAAATTTACATTTTATAAATGGGTCTCTTACACAATTAATGATTACCAGAATTTATTGAGTCACTTTTTGGGGTCAGAATCAGGGGCTATCTTAGTCCCTGTGTTTCGATCTTAATTAGTGGTCCACTTCTTTATTACCATAATGCCGATCTGACGTGGTACCCATTTGAGAAGGTTTTATTTTTCTGATCCGATGCATTAAGTTTGTCAATGCAGGCCTTTACCGATTTTAGACTGATCGTTTTCAATCATATGCATTGAGTGCTGTTTGGATATTTAAGAATCTGATTCTGTTTGGATATTTAAGAAAAGGTCTGATTTGTGTACTTTAGTTTAATTAGCTTCTGCATATGAAAAATAGTGGCGTTTGGCCTAAGGTTCATATTTTTGTTGAATCTTGGTCATATGCCATATATTCCAGATCCCGATCATATATGATTCACGAACATGTGTGAAATTATATTTATGGGTGCGTACGATGGCTGTAATCAAGTGGCAGTGGCAATCCGGTTCAAGGTTACGATCTCTTAGTAGCTTCTGTGTTTGAGGCAATATAGAAAAATAAACTTTTATATATTGTCTCGGGTCTGGGTGTTGTGATAACTTCGTTGTCTCAGATACTGCATGATTACGATTAGTTGAAAAGATATATGTTAATATAGCATTATCATTACAGGTATTTTTATATGTAACATTCTGTCTTCTTTCTTTATATGTAATCTGTTTCATATATTTCAGACTATCTCTGCAAAAGTTATAAAAGACTTAAAGCAGATATTATCTTATAGCAATAAATAAACTACTTACCTTAGCTAAACCTTTACAAATAGTGGGTTTTGTGTCTGATTAAAAATATGAATAATTGTATTAAAAATAGATATCAAGAATATAAACAGTCTTTGTTCCCATCCTGTCCTGCCTGTAGCATGTATGTATGTTAGATATTATGTTGTTCATTTTTTCTTTACAAAACTTATTAAAACCATGAAAAACTCTACTAAATAGAAATAAATTTACTCATATATAAATGTACTAATTTCTTTTTGAATAAATAATATCCTTTATTATCTGAGTGAGATAAAGAAAACGCCTAACTTAATATAATATAACAAGGTGTTGCATGCATATCTACATTGCTATTGAATTTTGTAGGCGTTATAACTTATGAAGCCATCTTTTGATTTGAACGTGTTATTAATTTTATAATCTCTAGCTGGAAAACTAAAATTTTGAAATAACCTGTTTTTAACACTGGAAGTTCCAGATAATAAGTATGGAATGAAAACTTAAAAATTCATGCACCACAATTAACTTTTTGTCGCAATCTTAAATATCTAAGTCTTAACTTATATATCATACTCCTATTATAGGTAATAAGTAATAAAAATGACGTTATTTATTATTTTCGTTTGATATAAGCATAGCTTTTATGTAGATTTGATTTAAGATAATATTTTTAACGAGTAAACCCATATTTAAATGTTATTTTTATACTATAGGTTAAACATTGAAATGAAGGTATTTATATATACACTTACATAAGAAAATGAAGTCTTCTATCTGCTTCTATCACTAGGCAGGTATTAAGAATTTTCATTCATAAAAAAAAAATTATCATGTATAGCCTCACACACACAACACTTAATCACTACGACGACTACCAACAGGTAAAAGATAAATACTATGTGCAGTTTTCATTAAAAATCAGTTGAATTTAACCCCTACCGTAAAGACAAAAAATTATATACTATGTTATAGACTTTTCGTTATAGACGATAAAATACATATAATAGCACAACCTAACATAATTCTTACTCTGAACTAAGCATGATAAAAATTTCGAATAGCGAAAACTAAAAATTATCATAGCTATTATATTAGATTATCATAGTTGCACTGTTCGCATAATCACTGTTCGCTGAATCTTCCTCAATCTTTATATATCGCATAACTACCAAAAGGTTAATAAAATTTTGTTATGACAACACTGTCGCATGCAAACGATCAAAGAGTAGTAAAACTTATTTTCTTCAATATACCTATATACCAACAATTGCCAATAATAAATATATAAACGCACGTTTTTGTCTTTGCATTTTATTTAATATCATAAATTTTGAAAATTGGTGTAAAAATTGGTAAATAATATTATTATGTTTTATTTTGTCACAAATACAATATTTTTTAAATGACCACCCTGCGGGGTCAACACACTCCATGGAAGTATTTTTAACCAATAGCACAAAGTGAAAGTATTGTAAGTTGTGTAGTGATTGGCTGAAACCGTGCCAAATACCTAACTAAAGATTTTTCAAGACAATGACGTAATAAAATGATCAGGCAAAACAAAATGGCCGACATTCACCTGTGCAAGGCGTGTCGCGGATTTTAAAGAGTTATCTTTGGCGATTTACCATTTATTGAACTTCAGTGAAAAGTTTCGGTGTTATTGCTGCTGGTTCGTAACTTTGTTTTGTGATTAGTTAAGGTGGATTTAGTATGTTTGATGTTCAGCTGTTGCCGTACTATGGGAGCTGCGGACAAAGGATGGAAGGTGTACCGAGGATGCCAATTCACATTGTTGTTGATGATAGCCGCGTCTGGCCCGCTCCGTGAGGCCTCGTCGCGTGAGCCCAGAGGCTGCATGTTTGCCTCGCGTGGGCTCTATCGTCCGCGTAGCCTCTTCGCGAGGCTTCGATGTGCCCGCGCGCCGCTATCGTGAAACTAAGTATTCGGTTGCCTTACAGCGGCGCTGCGGGCATCGCGTCAGCCCAGCCGCGTGGCACCGTCGCCCGCGCACAGGGGCTTCGCCCTCCGCGACTCGCCGCGCGCGTTCGGAGCCCTAGCTCCTTTCGTTCCGTGCGCGAAACTTCTCGAGGTAAGGTTTTCAATAATTTGAGTGGAAGCGATGGATCGATAATTTGGCCGGCCATTTTGTGAAAGTACTTTCCTGAAATAAAATTAATCTGGGTCATAATTATGTGGGAAATAAATTGCGTGTTTTTTTGCAATGTTGGATTGTCTTGAATGCTAACACTATCTTAGGATTGCCTATTATCAGTTATTCACTGTCTGTAATCATCTGGTGCTTCATTTAGGTAGTTTTTATAATAAAAGTTAGCTTTGTGTTTGTTACAATCATCAACAGGATTTAAATCTAGTTACTATATTAAATACCTGGATAGGTAACTATTATGTCTCATAATTTATTTTACTTGGTTATTTATCACAGTATTAGCCTTTGTTATTATTTTATAAAATATGTGTCATCATATTCCATTTATTTGGCCAAGATCTTTGAATATTTATGTCACACACATGTAAATATTCAACTACCTATACCACCAATATATTTGCTACAGGCATAGTGGTGATATGCACTTCATAATCCTAAGCTTGTCTATTCACAGGTTATCAATGTTGATTTGAACTTCAATTTACATAATATTGATTATGTGAGATACCACCAAGGAAAATGCCTTTTAAAACTGCAACGTTGCAATTACATTTATGCCTTTTTCAATAAGATACCATATTTTAAGAATTCCATGAATATGATATTTCTATAAAAATTTGTTTCCGCTCAATATAGGGATAGATTATATTTTGCATATATTTTTACTAAAATTTCACACAATATCAAATCCAATACTTAGCCTTTACCTGGCCACTGCCATGCACTTAGTAGTGTATATTAACAATAGATAACTGATGGAAGTTATTTTCCATTGTGCAAATCTAAAAAAAAAGATTGCCTATATAATTTAAGATTCAATTTCCTGTTGTCAACTATCTGCTGGTGGGAAAGAAAATTATTCATTATTGCCACTTAGTGCATATTGACAAACAGCTGATGCATTATCTTTGGTCTTAAACCTATGATTTCAAACCGTCAAGGGTTTTTGTTTTACATAAAAAACTTAAAAAATATTGAATCCGTCTGCTGCCTTTTATTCTGCCCGAGTTGTAAATGTTGATAAGTGCATCATTACCTTGGTATTAATTAATTAAATCTTTGCTCAACAAAGATTATCATGCTGTCAAAGATTGTCAGCTTTCAACTATCGATAGAAAACTACTCAATATTTATATGATAAATGCATGATTATTTTACAGTTTTATTTATTATTAATTTCATTACTAATTCTTGTTTTCCTTAAAACTAAATCTTCTGCACACACCATCTATTCTCATCAGGCTATGCAGGATTGTTAGGTTTTTTATAATAGTTTCTCATTTTTTCCAGGGTACTATTTGTTATAAATGTATTGCACTTAAATATGCTTCAATTTATGGTGTTACTGTATCTTTACTGTGGTAGCAGCATACACAAACAGTTAAATTTGCCAATCCTAAATATGTATGTAACTCAATATTAAAGGATATCCCAGCAATATTGGGACCAATCAGCGTTTCAACTTTTTATTTTATATAATAATATCATAGTTAATAATGCAATGGATCTTCTGATTTAGCAAAAAGTTGCATGTGACCATTCTCCTAACAATTGCAACAAAAAATAATATTGAATGTATTTAATTATATGTACTTTTATATTATAAAACTGTTTATATTTTTTGTATATATTTTGAACATAAATAGATGCTATTAAGTTGTTGTGCTAATTAACTTAAGTTGCATTTGAATGTGTGGTGAGGGTTGGAAGGGGGGTGAAGGTATAGTGTGCATGGAAGTGCTAGTCACCGCCTGAGGTATGTGAGTCTGCTGTTGACGCGGTGACGGTTACACAATTCAGTTGTTTGTGCCACTTTGTTTGAAACATACATGAGATTAAATATCCTAAGATGTGTCTGCCAATTACACAACAAGTGAGAAATGGTAGTTTGCTTATAAAACTGTATTGTAAATAATAAAATTTAATAAACACTTTAAAATATGAATTTATTTTAGTTTGACTACAAAATAGAGAATTTAAGATTAAGATAGATTCTAACATGTTAATCTGAGATTTATATGTCCTTAAATACCTCATGTGTGTTTTGTCAATCGCGTCTCACCGCTTGCATACCTTCACTAGCACTTCAGCGCACACAATAACATAATCTATATATATTAAAAATTAAGTAGAAAAAACTGAAAGTGAATTAAAAAACAAAACAAAAAATAATATTTGTTGCCCCAAACATAGCTACCACATCTAGATTTGTACACATTTAGTGTGATCTTATGATATGGTAAGGCCCAGGTAAAATCTCTATTTTTAATTGTAATATAAATTATTTTAAAGTAGCATTTCCATCTATTTAATATTTAAGATGACATTTGCTGTCTATGAAACATATTAAGATACATGAGGTAGTTTAAAATATTGATTACACTGGGACATGAATGGACAAAATTAAGATGTCAAAAATTGTAAATTGTTTACACTTTACCATAGAATGAGAAAAAAAGTTTAGTCACCACATTTTAAAAAAAAGTTTACCTGCGTTATCATTAATTTTCATTTGCAGGATGTCCTCCAGACGGAATGGTTCTGTCTCTAGGGCAGCAGAGGCAGCCTCTAAGAACCGCCTCCACATGGACAGGAATCCACAACATTCTAGGATTACTGGTAAGATGACTTTAAGTGACATCTATCACTTTACAAGAGAGCTTTAATTATTAGATTGTGAGGATATTATTTCAAAATTTAATGAGTGTTATATTAAGTCGAATATTTTTAGTGCCAGTTTCTGTTTCCATGTTCAATTAATAAAAAGTAATAATCGTCCCAGATCCATCAAACCCGGCTGGCCGCCGCAAGGAGATTGATAACGTGATGAAGAGAGCCAGGCAGGCGTCTCCCGGCAGCTGGGACAGGAAACTGCTGGAAGTTGAGGAGAAGGATCCTAACAGGTAAATAAAAAATCATTAGTTATCATCACACACAGTTTCCAAAATGACTAGCTAAAGCTCTCGTATTATTTATTATCTGAAACAAAGTTACCACTAAGCTCAGATCTGAGACAATAAGGAAAGTTCTTTTTCTACATTGATCCAACCAGAAATTGAACCCCCAGAGATGACAATAACTTGAAACTGGCGTGCGAATCTCTCAACTAAATCTATATTATAATATGTATTATATATTTATGTCCCATCTCAGTAAATTCTGTGTCCCTGAAGTAGGATTTTTTAAGCAATAGTACTGTAGCATAGCAAATGCAAAATTGGTCAAATATAATAATCTATATATTATTTGTTGTTTTCAATTTTATTTGTTATTTAGATGGCGCCACACGGGCTACAAACAGATGTACCTGGACGGGTCCGGGTCGGTATCCCCCAGACGTTCCAGGTCTCCTAGGGTCAGGAGGTCAAGGTCAGTGGATCACTCATAGATAGACATCTTTAATTAAGATGATTGTGAAAGGTGATTTTGAATCTAATCTCATTTCAAGCATCTGAGACTACTAAACTTTTAAGCATGTCTCTTTTATATAAAACTCTATTTTTCACAACTTACCCTATGAAAATTACAGCCTGTCACCTGTGTATGATTTAGTTGTTAAAAACAAGCAAACAAATAATCAATTAAATCTTTTTTTAATTATATTAGTATAGATATTATATGTTAGGGCTGTAACAGAAACGTTCACGATGCGTTGTGGCAATGAAGAAAAACCATGAAACCATGAATTTTGCTATGGATATTTGACTGTGACCACAATGCATTGTGAACTATTTTTTCTCTCAACAAGCTATTTTGATCTTTGAACGTAACATATATATGAAGTTCTCTAATATGCTATCATTTTAATAAGAGTTTAGTAGTAGTATAAAATAGATCTTTAAAAATTATTTCTCGTGTGTATATATCCAATATTTTGTATAAATGTAACGGTGTTATAATATTGTTTAGATCCCCGCTGGTGGTGGGCCGTTCCCGCACGCCGGTGGGCCGCTCCCCGCGCCGCTCCCCCCCTCCCCGCCGTCGCACGCCCCGGAGAACCCCGCCCAGGTACATATCTACATCCGCAATACAAAGCAATAATAAGTATGTCTATCCGCATACTCAACAAACTACCGGAAAGTTTAATAAATTCAAACTTACTGCATATTTTTCGAATCTGACTGACGAAAGGAACGGTCGGAAATAAATCTGATAATTTTTTTTTTTACTCACTAGTGATGATGCTATTGTATGGTTAAAAATAAGAACTTGTAAAATGTTGTCAATCTAAGAAGCTATATGATATAATATATGTGTGTTGTGGTGTACAGACGCAGCCCGGTGGTGGCACGGCGGCGGTCGCGCAGCCCCCGCCCCCGCGCGCGCCCCCCGCCCCGGCCCCCACGCCCCCCCTCGCCCCCCGACCCCAGGAAGGTGCGTATTTGGAATCTACTCTTATAAAAATAATTTTAATACTAAAATTTTAAATGAAAATTAACATTGCAATGTATGCGAAAACCGTTAAGACCCGCAAAAGGATAAGATAAAAGTTAGTATGTATTGTACATATTTATAAATATTATGTGAGTCAAATACGAATAATACTGTCAAGCAACCACCTTGATTCATATGGTCCTTTAACTTCAGAGTGTAATATGTCTAAGAAAAGAAAAGAAAAAAAAATTTCTCCATAAATCAATTCATAACATATTATTGTAACACTGACTTTTGTAATAACAATTGTAAAATAATTATAATGTTGGGGTAGAAATATTCAATTTATTGTTGACTATTTAGTAATAAAGTAAAGACCATGAGACTCGTTTAGAAACATTAATTAATTCTTTGGGAAATGTTGTCAATACTAATAATAAATTCAATAATATATGTCGGCGGGTAGTCAGAAGGGGCTATTACGAAACCAAATAGATCATCCATATCAGGGGAGACTATCTTTAAAATAACACTGCAGGCGTGTATACAAATGTGGATTTGTTCCATTTTATCACTTTTCATACGAAAATATAACGAGATGAGCGTGATGTCATCGGATGTCTTTACTCCTCGGCGATCGGCAACAGAATGTCTGCCAAAATGGCGGCAACTTGCTTTTTTTTAACGATTTGTCAAAGTCAGTGTCACCATTCTAATAAAATTAAAAGTATCGATGATCACGCTCTCTCTACAATCGAGTAATTAAGTATTCGATTAGCTAGCAATTAAAATAGAAGAAACTAAATCAAACGATCTTCGTAAAGATGATGACGACATATATGTATAAAGTTAAACGAATCCAAAAAACCTATTACCTATTCAGTGAAATTTATTTTCTTTGCTGTCTGTACTACTCTGTTTCACCGAAAACGAAAATTCGTCTATTTCCTAAAGGAACATATTTTTTAATAATTAACATTGAAAAGGAGGTAGGACCCTAACACTGCTTTTGAAGCAAATATAATATTGACGCATATGATTTTAAAGGATTATAAGAACTATTTGAAATTTTTGTGATATTTTTGTAATTTTCATTCGTAGACAAACAGAGCAGCCCCCTTGATCCTTATTTTATGCATAGTGGATGTTACAATCTGTTTGTTGTACAGTCATCTGGGTCCGGTTCCTCTGTGAGCAGCTGTTCGGACGAGTCGTGTTCAGTTTGCTCAGCCAAGAACAAAAAGGCACCGCCGCCACCGTCGAAGGCAGTCAAACCGAGGTACGAGATCATGGAGCCCTTGAGACTAATACTTTGATTTTCATCAAAGACGAATTGACAAGTTCCACGTTGCTAACACGAAATTTATGTAATTTTAAAGCTAGCTGTTGATTCTTTACAATAAGTAAAATGTAACAATTTTTTTTAGGTGATGAGAATTTCAAATCGCTCTCTTGAAATGTAATGATAATGCAAAAAGAATTTTGTTGAATAATCTAATTAATGTTGTAACTTAGATGCTACATTGATTGGAAGTAAATAAATATAATGTTGTGATGATGTAGTTGAGTGATTCCCTAAGTAGTCCGTGTTGACCCCCAGGGGTCCACGAGGGTCTACGTTGGCGTGAAATAAAATTAGGACGCCAATTTCCATCGTTGGATCTTCACATTTTGTACGAATTTCGGGAATATGGTAAAAATGTAGCAACAGGGGGTCCACCGAAACAGTAAATTTTTTAAAATGGTCTATGAGATAAAATTGTTTGAGAACCTCTGATGTAGTTATAAACAGTCAAATTCTTATTTCAATATGTAAATCACAATATGTCAAACCATTTACTACTAATGTTTATATTTTAAATTTAAATAAACTGATTAAGTTAACCTGTCTTGTATAAAATCTATTTGAAAAAATATCGTAACAAGTATCGCAGGGTAATAATCTGGGTCCCATGTTTTATTTTAGGCCTAGATCTGGTTCACCTCGTCCACCGCCGCGACCGTCGCGAGCTGTACAACCGACGAGGGAACTGTTGAAGGCGCGGGAAGCCAGCAAGCGGACTAGGGAGGAAAAGGTCAGTCTAAAAATTATATATGAACACATGTTGTGTCGTTTCCGTGAACAGTATTAGTTTATCGTTACAAACTTTTATTTATAAGCAAGCAATTTTAACAAGCTAATAATGGAAACTGGTCTATGTCAAATTTAAAGAAAACTGAAATATAATTTAAAAGTTCATGTTAAAAACGATTACAGTAATTTAACTTCAAATAATGTAATACTAACCTTTTTTTATGAAAAAGCAGGGGTCTAAATGCGAGCCTTAAGATACACCTAATGTATTTTGCGAAGGGAGTTCTTAAATCCACCAACAATAACATAGAAATACATTTATGTAGATTTGATTCTCACTTCACTAGCAAAGTTTATCATAAATCCAACAAAAGAATATTACGAGGTACTCTATCGAATGCCTCACTGAAATCTGTGTATGCTACACAGATATTACGTTAACTTTCCTTCATCCAGGACCTTACATAGTTTCAGATGATAAATTTAAATTGTTACATATACACTTAGGGTCGACCAAACAATGCTAATTAATTTATTAAAAAAAAAAAAACAAAGAATCAGTTTAGATGTTTTCGTAAAACAAATATTTCGGCTAAGGTAAAGAGAATTGTTGTTTCTACTTCGTATATCGATGTAACTTGGTCCACATCCCACATTTCAAGAGATGTGCCGGATCTGAGGGAATTCTAATAAACTGAATATAGGGGTGAACGATTATAGGATGTATAGCGATAGTATGGCAAGTAATGAGTGGTGTGATATCGGGCAGGTGTTGGAGTGGCAGCGGTCGCAGCTGGCGGCGCGCGCGGCCCCCGCCCCCGCCCCCGCGCCGGCCCCCGCGCCCGGCCCCCCGCCCGCGCGCATCAAGCGCGAGGGGGAGCGCCGCCCGCCCGCGCCCGCGCCGGGGCCCGCGGGGGCGGGAGGCGGCAGTGGGGGCGGCGGCGCCAGGGGCGTGTCCCCCGGGGCGATCGCGGCCGCGCTCAACGACTCCGACTCTAGCGACTCGGCAGACACGTCCACCGATCAACCGCAGAGGTGCGCACACGTCACTCCTCGTTTGTTTTTGTTTAATTTTTATCTACACTCAAATCGAAAAATTCGAATTACGAATTCAAAGACGATGCTAGACATGCACTTTATGAACGCATATACATAAAATTAAAAATAAAACTCATTATAATGCCGCTATCCTCTTTTTATTCATGAAAGAAGTCTGTGGTTTTAGGCTGTAAAAGAAAAAAGGCGCACGCGTACGCAGTTCGAACTGTGAAAAAAATGGCGCACGCATAAATTACTTCCTTGTAACCTACCTACTTTGTTTGATTTCAATTTTTCCTATAAGTGAAGATTACTAGTGTATACATTCATTAGTTAATAATGAACACAAAACATATAAACATAATCTGTCTTTTAATAAATAAAAGAGCGGTGACACCCTTTCCTGAAGTACATTGTCATTCTAGCTTGGCAATGGAGGCTATTATATATGTTTTAAATAATAAACATATGTGTAATATATTAATAAAGAATGTGTGTCAACACAGTTATTTGAATTAAAATTGTGATTTCTTACTTCTTTCTTTCTTAAATTAAAAACTTAATGATCAGACTGATAAAACACTTGAAAATTTAAATGAAATTCACGAACAAACCTATCAAAATATGGTTATAAAGTATTATAATCGACTTGTCTACTTTGGGAAAATTATTTCATAACTTTCATATATAGAGAAAATGTATTTTATTATATTATTGTAATTGTGACCGCCCGCGTTCTTGTCATCTACATATTATTAACTGCGTTTTTTTAAATAAAATACATTTACGATTTGTTTTAAACATAAACTACTACATAATTGTTTACATATTAATTAGCATTCACAGTTTTAGCTGGTTCACGTAGCCAATTTCATCGCGTCAATAGAGCGCCATCTATTGTTAATCTAATATAATGAAACCACAACTTTATCTCCCACCAGGTTGACCCTCTCGGAGCGGTTCGGTAAGATGGCCCAGTGGTCGGCGGATCGTTCCGCCCGTTTGGAAAACATGAAGATAACGCGCCGCGAGGCGACGCTCCACGTGAGGATAGAACGGGACCCGCTCGACCCACGGGACCCGAGGGACCCCCGCGACCCCATAGACGACGTCGAGGCGGAGATGTACCCGTGAGTGCACTTTTTGATAATGTCTTATTGCCAATAGCCACCATGATTTTGATATATTATTACTGGCCTCTTTAAGGAGCCTTTTGTACTTATTTTTAATTTATATATTTTTTTTTACTTTGTCAATGTTTCTTCTTGTTCCTTGTGTTTTTGTACGTTGTTCATTAATAAATCTTTTTCTTTGCTAAAAGTTATCTAATTAAAATTTTATACAGGTCATTGTGCTTGCTGTCGATTACAGACTATATTGATTTGGCGACAGGTTTTTGTTTATCAAGTTTTGAATCTTTCATCCCCCTAATCCATCCCTTAGGGGTTGAGTTTTCTAAAATAAGTTTCTTGGTTTTCATTAACTTTACGAATGGAACCCCTGTACTAAATTTCAAGTTTCTAGGTACAGTAGCTTTGGCTGTACGTTGATATGAGTATCAATCAGTTAGGTTTGCCTTTTATATAGACAGATATTACCGAGATCAATATAAAATATGAATATCTTTGAGTTCATGATTTTTAATAAATTAATAATAAAATTTTTTTTGCAAAAAAATGTATTTGCTGAATGTAAAGTACTAGATGGGGGTTACGCATTCTATTGCAGCGCTCATGGTGAGCAAAAGTAGAAACATTGCGAGCTCTGTATCTGTCATACCATATCCAGTACTTGTATTTCTTTCCACTGAATTAGTGTTAAGTTTAATTATTATAATTTTTAAAATAAAAAAAAAAACTTTCAATGTTTTATTTTATATATTGAGCTATATTTAAATCATAACTGATAAAACCGTAAATAAATCAGGCTGAAACGTATTTTTAGTGATAATATTTTTTTACCAAACCTACATCACATTACATATACATTTTAAAGTAAAATAACATTCTGATGCACTACTTTTGTTATTTGTACTATTTGAATCAACAAATCGTTTGATCACTATATCTTACTGTTATAATAAGTGTCCAATGGATTTACGCCATACATTTTTGGTATTATCTCGTTTGATTTACAGAAAATTTATATACCTGTATACTTTCATTTTAATATATTTTTGGAATATTGCCAATAACCCTATTGAACTGTGTTACCAGATCAATAAGGTCTCTGACTGTAGGAACGAACTGATGACACAATTTAGACACTGCATATGAATTTACTTGTTTAATTTTTTTTATTATGATTTATGTTTGGGTATCTTGGATAAACAAGTAAAAATACAATTTCCCGTACTCAGTATTTCATCGTTCACCTTTGGCAAACAATATTTTATTTACTGGTTATTTTTTGTTACAATCAGTTTATTTTACGGTATAATTGACCGCCCTAAGCACGGGCCTACTGTGACATTAGGGTAAATGCGCCAATGTATGTGTATACACGACAGTGGCCTGGAACCGGCCCCGGTGGGCAGTTACCCGGAGGAACTGCTGGCGGCGGCTCCGGGCGGGCTGCCCTCGTGGGACGACGTGCGCGTCAGATATGACTACTACAAGAAGCGCGGGTACCTCAGGGGTCAGTACCACTCAACTATTCCATACCATATCTAACCTCTCTTAGGACTCTAATTCTATAATTTCATACCAGTTAAAAAATCTTAAAAAAGAATTAAAATATGACAACATATGGATAGTCAATCAGTCATCTTTGCCGTTTGTATATAAAAAGTTATACAAGATAAATCTTTTAATGTGCAAGATATTTATAATTGGTCAAATAGTTTATAGTTAACCAGCGGAAGTATTTGTTTTTTTTTTTTAATTTTTCGTGAGGTTAGAAAAAAAAAATAAAGACAACGAAAGAAGCAGAAAATACTGATTCCCATCATATTTAACCTACAAAATACAGTCAGCTGTAAACCATACTTTTATAAATGTGAAATTCTTACATTACTCTGCATATATGTTTTAGAAGTATGTATGTTTGTCCGAAAATATCCGGAATTTTATAAAAAACGTAAACTAACAACTACATATAATTTACGCAACCGGAACAAACTAACCATAGCAACCTCCCGTTTAAAATTATACTCTTCTGGTCCACTAGAAATGTCAATAAAAAATGTACAATTTGCCAAACAATAGTTTGCCAAACTCAATGAAAAATTTAAATAAAGGAATTGAATATAAAACTTTAATTTATGATTTAAATACGTATTTAATTATGAAATATCTGTTAAATATGCGAGTTTTCAAAACATAAACTATTATTAATTTATTTAAAACAGACTAATACTTTAAATAAAACTGTCCTCTCTCTCCAAATTTGCTGTGACTAACAGGGTCCATAATTATACTTTTGCTTACGTGGACATCTTAATAAATTTTTTAAATATAATATACTGGTGGACAAGATAATTAGAGAGATAATGGGTTTTTCCTATTTTCATTTGTATTTTAGATTTATTTTCTGTGTTGTTAATAAAAAAAAAAAAACATTTTATTTAAAAATTAACATACAATTGATTAAAAAAAGTTATTTACCGGTTTGTAAATGATTTAATTTTATCATCCACCAGAATTTTAGTGTAGACATGTGTAAATATTTACTATATTTATTTTAACAGGTCTCACGCTTAGTGACTATGTGAAATGGGAAGAATGGTGGTACAAATACCAGGAGTGGCTGAAACGGGAACGCGCATACGAGCGCTGGGCTGAGGGAGAAGTCGGCACTGTAAGTGTACATTTGCTATTATTATTTATACTGGTGTCATTAGATCGTTTAAAAGTTTACATTATAAACAAGGACCTAAATAAGTACCTTGGGGTAATGTCGAACTATATGATAGGAAGAATTGCAGTATAATCTACTTTATTATAATGAGAGAGAGATTCTTTTTAATAAAAAAGTACTCAAAAAGTGAATTATAATTTTAGTTTGAATGAAGTGTGCCTACTTTGTTAAATGCTTTATTTCAATCTGTATCTACATTCACGTGCTTTTGGGTCAGTTAATTCAAATTTTATTTTTCCTAATATTCATAAAGTTGGTTATAATGATAATTGGTAGTAATTATCTGTTTTGAATATGCTATGGTATTGTTCTAAAGAGTTAAAAACATGTTGCAATGCTAGGATGTCATATTTTGAGTGTATCCAATTTAATTGGATTGGCGATTCACACCGCCATCTAGCGAAGAATATATGAAATATCGCGCTGCGTCGTTATAATACCCGAAAATTGTGATGATTTTTCCTTTATCTGAAAACTAGTGCTTTCCGTGTGGTCCCATTTTAATTTAATCTACATCTAGCAATGGCGTCTGAGAAAAAATCATACAAAGTCTTAAATCTGCATTAAGTATGCGTGATATTTGTTACGCCAAAACACAAAATATCACTAAAATGCATGAAATAAAAACTTTAAAAAAATGGAACCAACTTCAAATTTAAAGAAGTGAAAAATAATATTTAACTTAAAAGCGGTATCTTTTTAAGAAACATTGAAGTCGGGCGGTCAATATATTTGTCGCAGAATATCTTCATTACCTTTACATCGTCGAAGATCGTTTGGTTTAGTTTCTTTTTTTTTTCGTCCAGGAGAAAATACATCCGTCGGCATCACGTTCATCTCGTTATATTTTCGTATGAAAAGTGATAAAATGGAACAAATCCACATTGGTATACACGCCTGCAGTGTTATTTTAAAGATAGTCTCCCCTGATATGGACGATCTATTTGGGTTTCGTAATAGCCCCTTCTGACTATCCGCCGTCATATTTAATTAACTACAGAAAACCACAGCCCAACTTCGAAGTGTTTTAAAAAATGTAACCGCTTTTAATATATAAGTATTATTTTACATTTTTTTTATTGACATTTCTTTGAAATGTTCTCATGTATCTCACTCAATTGTAGACAGGCTTGTTATCGAATGAGTTTTGTTGGTAGCGACAGGAATGTTATCGGAACCGTATTAGTAAACTTGTGTGTACGCATCAGGTCCGGCGCGAGAGGCGGCGGCGCGGCGGGCGGCACCGGCGCAGCTGAGGGCACGCCGCCCCCGCCGCCGTCCACAGCGTGGACCTGGCCGCGGGGGCGCCGCGCATGTAAGCGGCACGCCCACCACACACCGCCCACCGCCCACCGGTCAGTATCGAGAGTATACTCCGTTTATGTTACGCTCGAAGATGTGCGACTGTTCCCGAGTGACCCGCCCCTCAGGAACATTCGAGTTCGACCCCCCAGACAGGACTGGAGGCGGGCAATGCCCAGCCAGAACGCTAACCCGCTATACTGCCTCTCATCAAAGACAAAGAGCCCACCCTACCCGTCTAACCTAACCTAACCTAATCAAATCTGGTTCAATACGCTTCATGGTTTTTCTTCGTTGCCACAACGCGTCGTGAGCGTTTCCATAAGAGCCATAACACTAATTTAGCTATTTAGATATTTTACAGTGACCACAACGCGTTGTGTATTATTTTTCCACTTAACATATATATTAGATTCTTTAAATTTACACACTAAAACGCTAATAATTTATTAATATCCATAATTACTGAAATCTAACCCTTTAAAGTTTAAATCATCAATACTAGTAACGAAAATTGGAACTTTTTTTTTTCAATATCATAAAACAGAAACTTGGCAAAAGTTAACCTAGCTCTACTTATTTTGCTTATTCTCTGTATGATATGAATTTATACTAATACTTAAATTGCAATTTTAGCGTAAATTTACTCTGACACTAAACCTTGTTTATAAATTTTTTATAATTATCTGTTTTAGTAATAAAGCTAATGTATACATATTTCTGTATATTCAATTAATAAGATAATCATAGACTATCCTATTTCTCAAATTAAAAATATGGTATCTATATTATTTCAATTTAAAAACAACTAACACAAACTTTACTATTTACACCGTACATTTTTAACATAATTTCACAACTGCGAATTGTTAAATGTTCTTGTCGGATTTAAAAATTCATGATAAATAGAGCCACGTTTAAAATTTCTGAACAATAATAGCAATGTTACCTTAATTTTATTAAAACACTTCAATATGCGCGCAATGATCACAACATTCACGTTTCTGTTTCAGGTACTGCATCGCATTCTCAAGGATATCAAAATCCACCTTATGTTTTATAAATTTAGAGTTCAAATTACATCATACTCATAATCACGCAATACTAAAATTGTGCTGCAGTGCTTCGAAATTTAAGTGGAACGGGGTAGTGAAATGGAGACTTTATTAATATGTAAGTTAGATATTTAATTTCATTGTATGGTACATATAATTAACATTTAGCATTCGTTTTATATATCTTGGACTTGGGGATAAAATAATGCCAGTAACTTTGTTTAAAATAACAATAAGATAAACCAATATTCATTATCGGTCTATTGGGTATTGTTCGGTTATTGATACTCCCAAGTTCTCGGTAAATAAATTAACTTGTATAGAAAGATTTTGAAATTATTTTTTTAGTCGTTATAATTTTAATGTAAATATTAACTTTGATATAGTTCATGTAGTATTATTTTTAACAGGGTCCGTTTTGAGATATTGCTGTCCATTCTGTTGTACCACTCTCTAAACTGTGAAATAATTATTTAATTATATTATTTTTAAAATTCCTTGTATGAAAACACATGAACCATTGCAAATGTACGCGCAGTATAGTCAGAATTTACTGCCACCAGTCGTACATTTGCAAGTTGATTCATTTACAATTTTTCACACAACTCTTTAGAAACAAATCAATCCATAGTTGAGTAGCCATACAATATGATAGAAGTATACTGACTATGACAGAGATAGATATTCTAACGAAGTTATTTTAAATATAATATAAATAATATTTAAAAACATCTTTTAGTCTCTTTAAAAACTGAAATATTGTAATTAGTAGCATTTGACTCTTCCATCTCATAAGGTTGCTAACCCCTGAAATAACTTATAATGATACTCATACAGTCACAGCAATTCATCAATACAGTTCCATAGATGTATTACTTGTGGTTATGTTATTTTTTTATTATTTAAACACAGACTAAATTAGTTTGCTTATATATTTAAATAGTAGTAATCGAACAACAATTCTAGTAATTAGTGTAGTAACATTAGTTGTATTTAGAATTATAAAATAGATTATTATGTATATAACTTTAAAAAAAATATTGAAAGTCTGGAAAAAAAATTGTATGTAAATATTTATTTCATAATATCCAACATTTAACCTCCTTTCGGGATTATAATTATTTTAGTTGTGATGCCTGTTGTGTATAATGTTTTCCCATAACTTTTAAACTAATATATCCAATATTATTATATAAACTTATGATTGGAATATATGTCGATAATTTTTTCATATTATGCCTGCAGTGTCTTCCTAATAGTCTTCGGTTATAACATGCAACATTAATGTTATAACATTATTACATGTAAATAGCAATTTCACTTTGTCCTACTTAGTGTTTCTATTTCTCTACAACCATTCATTAATATGACAAAGTTATATTTGCAAAAGATAAATTATTAATCAAATATATAAATATATGAAATCGAATATTATTAGAAACTAGTTGAATAAACAGGCAGTTTCATACAAATGCGGTTTGCCTATTTCATCTTCTTTCTTATTTCGAATGAAACACAAAAAAAAAACTGCCTTTTGAAGATTGAATCTTCTTCTCATTTTTTTTTTTGTATTAACAAATTGGACTGTCAAACTAAACATTTTGTAACATTGAAAAAAAAAAATCCGTTTTTGTGGTTTATTTTACGGAAATTAATATACAGTATGAATATTCTTTAAATGTTTTTGTGTGATTGCAAAAGTGTGCGTTTATGTAAAAAAAAAAATTAAACGTTATATCATAATGCTTACTTTAACTGTACTAGAATACATTGTTCGGTAGGTTAAATGTAATTCTACCATTTGGGTATTATTTATTATAAAATGTATAATGTGCATGTTGTAAATTCATAACTGTGTAATCTCTCGGTATCTATTCTTAAAGCGTCGTGAACAACGCGATTGGATTATGTAATTTTATTGTGTTGAAAAAGATAAATTGTAAAAAAAAAAATTTTTTTGTTAGATGCCGGTCTGTGACACTTGGTGACATAACAACTGTCAGTTAAGGCTGAACGCCAAAGAAGCCAGGGCCGGTAAATACTTTTGGAAAAAAAAAATAGCTACTCGACAGTAGCTGTTATTTTTTCTCGTCTCGTGTTAACAATTAATTATATTGTGTAATTGTCGTAATATATACAGTAGTCACAGTAAATCGAGTCATCAGAAACTGTCAAATTTGTCCAATTAATTTTTAGCCGTTAATTTATCGTCAATAAAGTACAAAATCAGTTTGGGACACTTCTCACACCGTGTTTACAGTCGCGTACAAGAATATTATAATGTAATTCTTTAACTGCTTACACATGTTATGTCTTAAATTAAAAATAATTTCTAACAATAAAATATAATATTGGACATGGCTGTTAATCAGTGATCCCTTTGCCTTTCACAGAATCACTCTGTTATGTAGGAATCAAATGTTTGTAAGCAGTTAAATTATATCGGACACGACGTTATATTTTCATAGTTTTTGTGTAATATAGGTTTAGTGATGTCGATTTATCGATAAAAGTTATCTATAGATATAGCTCATTGTACTTTGATGGTTGATTTGATTAATATTTTTCAAATCTTTAGTATGTAATAGAGCGACTGTTTAATTGCGTAATAAAGATGCATTAAAATTTCTATATGGTCGCTTCGATAGTGATTTCTTTAAGATTTTTCGATTGGCATCTATTTATTGTTTTAAATGCTCGTTTTCTTGGATCTGGATGTTGTGGAACTTCAGTTTAGCTATTGTTGTTGTCATCATTGTCTAATATGTAGAGGTATGTCTGCTTAAATATTATATTTATTATTATAATTATCGAAATAGGCATATAAATAATTTTATATACGGTAGTTTTAATAATCTTTATTGTGGTTTCTTCGAAACGCTAAATTATGAAAAATTAAGACGATAATGTATTTTTATTTCTAAATAAAGTTTATTTATGAGTAGTATTAATAATTGAACAACTATAGGAATATAAAACTAACTAGCATTGTCACTTAAAAAATTGGTCAAAATATCTATATTAGTTCTCAGTGTTGGTTCATGAGTACCAATGTCTTGTCTTCACATTTTTAGCCAGTTTTTAGTATATGGTGGAAATATACCAGAAACAAGAAAATTCTTCTAACCTCTGGTATATATACCGTTGCAATTAATAGATAGTTGTGACGTAACACTAAGGTAATTCAACAACGCTAAAACATCCCGGAAAATCTCAAAAAAAAGTTTACGCAAACCATTACTGTAGCCTTAATAACATTAATAAGTAAATAGAAATGTTAAATTCGAGGTTTTTAAATCTAAAGCACTCAGTCAGTTGCACAAATATCCATTAAGGTTTAATGACGCCTTAAAACTCTAATGAATGTCAAATTTGTATGGGTAATGTGGCTTTAATCTAATGGAATTTTAATGGACGTTTGTGCAACTGGCTGTAAGATTAATAGAAAGATAGAGTTCAGAATATATTGCCATTTTGTGCTTGCACACGTTTCTAAATAAAGCTTTTCAAGCAAATCTTAAATCATCATTTGTAATTTAAGCAGGCGTGTGTGTATTAATGTATTATATACACTTATGTATATTAATGTACTAATTTAGATGTAAATCAATTTATCGTGAATCAAAATAATTTATAGAAAATGTATTCTTGTGGTTTCATTTAGTAAATTAGGTTTCTACCATCGCTCGAGTAATGAAAATTGACAATAGAGAAAACCTCGAGTAGAGACATGTTGGTTTATTTTGGCCAGATAACGGTTTAGATACGGTAGTAAAGTTTTCCTCATTTTATAATGTGTGTCTTAAATGGTGTCTTAAAACCATTTTTTTTAATAAATAAAACTAATTGAAATATATTAATTTTATTTAATTATAATAATTATTTTATTAGATCGATTTTATTATTCTAAATTGATACATTGGCGTCTTTACATGGCTAAAAGAACACGGTTACTCCCAGTTGTTTATAAATAGCTAAGTTAGATGTTTTTAAGATAAGGTTTGGCACAGCTACAACTCTGCATTTGCATTTAACTTCACCTGTCCCTTATTTTAGTGACGAAAAAGAAATAATATAGCGCTGCTGGACTGACTTCAGTATGGACACTATTATATATATTATTATTTATAGTGCCATATTTTAGTAATAAAGGCAGGAATCGGAATAATGGATCACAGTCAAATGTGTGACGGCTACCGAATTCTATCAGTGACCAGAGAGCAAACTAAAGCCGATGCAATACGAGCACCTACGTAAATATAGACTTTAAAGCGTGGCGTTAAGGTTTACGCGAGCAAGCAAACTAGGAATGATAATGTGCCTTTCAAAAATGTAACTTATAAACATGCCTCGACGTGGAACTATCGGGAGTAACAGTGATATTATTTAAGGCCACACTATACTCTCTATCCAGGGCACGTACTGCGACACGCGCGTGTATATACCCGGGTCGCCGACGTTACCGCACGCCTTACCAAAGGACGTCACGCCCACTATCATGTACATGCAACGGATCTTCTGACTTTTTATCTGCAGAGGACCGCCGCTGTCGCCCTGGTGAAATAAACATGTCATCAGGCTATTAATGTCCACTGCTGGGATTCTCCATCTTGTGGGTCATTATCGCCAAAAGATTGAGAAACGCTGTTTTAAACGATTCATAGTTATGTCAGAAAAATGTATTTGAGTTGTTTTTAATTGTAACAGCCTAGACTGAATAAATCATCATCATCATCAGCCCTTTTACGTCCCAACTGCAGGGGCTCAGGCCTTCCTTATGGATGGGTTAAGGAGTATAGGCTATGACCCTCCACGCTGGCCCAATGCGCATTAGAGGGTTTTAACGACTGCAAATGCAGCCGGGACCAACAGCTTAACGTGCCTTCCGAAGCACGAAGTAGCTCGAGATAATATTTTTTGGTCACCCATCCTGTAACCGACCCTTGCGAAAGTTGCTTAACGACAACGATCGCGGGCCGCCGCGCTTATCCACTACGCCACCGAGCTACTCTATGTAATAGTATTTTTTTTTTTTTAATACAATGTAATAGTAAAATTTATTAACATAAAATAATTTATATGCCAGGAGCTCGATGACTCCATTGTTAGCGAGTTTGGTCGCTACAGATGTCAAATAACGTTGTCATAGGATGGGTGTCAAGAAATTTATTACCTCGAACTCAGTGATTTGGAAGGCACGTTAAGCAGATGATCTTACAATTAGCTATGTCTGCATTCGTTAATATTTACCAATCCGCAATGGGCCCGCGTGCGGGTTAAACACATCCATAGGGAACGCCATGCCTCTCATTGGGCACATTAATAGGCTGGTGGTGATGGAGCAAACTTGGTACTAAAGTATATCTTACTTGGCACGTGTCCTTCGACTTGAGCTTGTCACCGTAACATATCTGGGTGTTACTGTCGAAGCCTTGCTTCATGTGCCGGTGCACCGGGAACTTCTCTTTGCATTCGTTAGTGGAGAACTTTGTTAATACCACCTGTTAGTAAATAAATAATTTAATATCAGTATGCATGAATAATAAAGATACAAACAACACACATTTGTAGTTGATTTTTTTTTAATATGTACGAGAATGTAACATTAGCTTAGACCAGCGTTTCCCAAACTATAGTCTGCGAACCCCTGGGGGTTCTTAGCACAATATATGTCAGCGAAATCACGTACCGTTTCTTTTTTCATTAGTGTTTTTATATGAACAAAGCCTACACACATACTGAGTATTTGTATGTAAGTAACGTAACAAAGCCAAGCATTACATTGAAAAAGAAAGAAAATCGAGCATACATAGTGATTTATGGAATCGCGTTATTTATACTCTCAATCGCTTTTGAATGATCGAGAAATGTAATAAAAACTCCTAATAACAGAAAGATTTGTAGATCGCATTTCGTTTATATGATGTTAATCAGAATTGTTTAAGCAAAGTAATAGATACAAATTTCTTTGAAAGCTATTGGAAAATGTCAAACGAAATTAATTGCTCTTGACGTTTATATCATTCAAATCATTCGTTCTTAAAGCGATTGTTACATTAAAAGTTACACAATTCCATAAATTACTACCACTCGTTCAGGTTCCCTATCATCGCAGGAGGGACATCTAGCTTACCGCCCCTCCGCTTTCTCTTTCAGTCTTTTTACATTTGTTCTGATCTATAATATGCAATGAGGTAGATGCATACCTTCTGCAGATGGTCTGCGGTGGCCCCCCTGTGCTCGGTGAGCCCCCAGCCGGTGGCGGAGGCGCGCTCGTCCCGCACCGTGTCGTTGGCGACGTGCAGGCACGCCGGCACCAGGTACTGACTCAACGTCACACTAGACAGAGGAACGATACACTCGTTACATACAATGTGTTAACCGGCCAAGAGACAAGTCATATTAAACAAAAAAAAATAATAAAAAATAAATCATGCTTGTTGTTTCCCACTTGGTTGTACAAAATTTTCGAGTAAATTACAATTGATCGACTTAGTCGTAATCTTGTAAAACCGACTTAAGTGAGATAGTTTTTCTTTTAAACCCACGCTATGGGGAAGGTTGACTAAGGAACCTAAAAGGAAGGTTGACTAAGGAGCCCAGTGAGTCGTATATTGGTCAGTTTAATGCAGACAATGAACTTTAATAAATATATTTATTGTCCCAGATCTGAATCCGCGTGGTTCTATATTATACATATAAACCTTCCTCTTGAATCTGTATGTTCGTAATATAATATAAAACATCTCAGCGTAAAGACAACGGAAAGCGACTTTGTTTTGTACTCACGGTGCGTCCAGTTCCAGCAGCGCTATGTCGTGATATCGACCGGGGGGCGCATATTGTGGATACGGTATCAGTCTCTTCACTCGCCTTAACTTTGTCGGGTCTATGGTTTGAGATCGTTTTAGAGCTCCCATAAGAGCGTATGTTATGGGACCACTATAAAAAAAATTGTATTATATAAACGGTCAGACCAGGAAGCTATAAAGATCTGGCATAGATAATGTAATAATATAGCCTAGGATAGGATGACAAACGCCTGCTTTTAAAAAAACCTTAGCTACCAAAACTACTACTATCGCCGTCCATTTCTTTGTTACGTTTCCAAGTAAATTATAATAAATCTTCAGTGTATTCAAGTTATCGAATTAATTCAACTTTGACCCCTAGGGTCATTTTGGATATCAGTGGCCTATACTGAAAAAAAAAATCTCTTTTTTATTTAATTAAATATTACTCACAAATCTCTGCTGACGGTACAATGTCCGGCTGTGAGCACGTAATTGTTGCTTATTAGAGAACCACCGCACAACCACTGGACATTCTCCAACTGATCCCCATAACCGAGCAGCACCTGACGCAGATTCATACATGTTATAATGTAGTAGTAAAGTATTTAAAAAATATATAGTTCCCGAAAACAAACTAGATGTCGCTACGGTACGTTCTTGATTTCTCCATAACAACCTTTCCGGTTTTCTTTCATGTATAAAAGTAAATTAGTTCTCAAAACTCAATAAACAACTCATACTCTATTTGTACTTTTTTATGTATGTATTTGCAAATTTCAGTTTTTTAATATGTTAGTTAAAAGGAACGCAAATCTTTTATCCATTCGTTTCCTACAAAAATATTTTACTAGATTCGCCATCTAGTGAAGGTGCTTTTTTAGTGCTTTCTTTCTTTTTAAATATTAGCACAAGCCCGGATCTACATTTTTTTCCAACCGGGGCAAAAATTGGTTAGTTCGACAACATACTAAGAACAGAATAAATTAAATATTAAAGAGGGGGCTCCCATACAATAATCCACTTTCGCGTTGTATATCATTTTTTCATCCTTTCTTTCCACATGTCCGAACCAGCCAAATTACTGTACCAAGTGTAGGATATCCGTACCTATGTATATTGTCTGTACCAAGTACTCACTTATGACTCACTTGCACTTGCATTAGCAGACACGGATCTAGGGGGGTGCAAGTAGACATTTGCCCTGAGTGCCAGTCTCAGTAGGGCGCCAAAATCATCATTATGTAATATCTACTCACAGTTAAAAAAAAGAACGAGCTTCACAATTCTTTTCATTCACATTATAAACCACGACAAGACGGACATCTTCAAAATCCGAAGTTGAAAAACTGTAGTAATATAAAATCCGGCGTCATGGAGCGTAAGCCCCCTTAAAGAGGGGTGGGGGGGGGAGGGCAGAGGAAGGGCGCCATGCGAAGTACCTGTCCCGGTTAAAAAAATTATAGAATCGAGCATGTGCATGAGCACTCACTACATGCAGGAACCTACTCGTTAATAGGGATGATGACTAATTTTTGTTTGTTTGTCCGTCAGGTAAAGTGTTCAAAAATATTAAACACGTATTTTTTTATTTTTTTCGTAATCATAAAATTTCGCATGACGTCACGTTAGAGTACGCGTTTTCTACTCAACTGTGACGTAGCGAGCCCCCACTCCTCAACTTCAATGCCTGTTATCTAAGCTATTTCTTGTTAAATTAAAGTAAAAAAAATACGTATCTAATATTTTTCTATTATCTGACTGACGGACTAAATAGAATTGCATTTTTTTTACCCAGTCATCATCCCTATTAGTAGCTGAATATGTACCATGTGTGGGAACTCGTACTCTTTGGCGTCCTCGCCGCCCACGATGAGGTCGTCGGTGTTGTGGTGGCAGTGGAACGTGCGGCTCGCGGACCCCACCAGGTCCACGCCCTTGTCGCACGTGTACACGTACGTCTGCTGGTACTCCACGCATTCTGCTCACCCGTTCATTAGGCAAAATTTATATATTAACAATACACTTGTAAGTTAACTTGCTTCTTTAGTGAGTTAACTATTTTTGATATTCAAACGGCAATAAAAACTTAACTCGCCAAAGAGGTAATCGAGCTACATGCTTTATTACAGGTTATGTTTTTATATTCAAATATCCGAGAAAATTACCACAAAATAGTAGGTTCAATTGTTAAGAGTTTTGTATCAACAGAACAAAAGAAGAAAAATATTTTTAAAGTTGGTACAGTCAACAGCCCGTCAGACTACAAAACTGTCATATTTCGCCACTCTATTTTAAACTTTAAATTCATAAGGGTAGAGGTCAAAATTCATTACAGAAACTTCACATATTGTAGTAACCTGAAGTACAGCCGTATGCCTATTACATAGTTACCTTGGAGGTCTTTTGCCCAAAATAGTTTGGGAATCGCTGATCTAAAATATATCAACAGCGGATGTGGGTCACTTATACCTAATACTATTTCATTGCTGATAATAAATATTTGGTTGTACTCACTGTCCCATGCCTTTTGCCCAGTACGTGAGGCTGTCAATGTTGGAGAGAGAGGCTCGCAAGAGTCCACGGCGGTGCCGTCATTGTTCACGTAGTCGTACACTGGTATATCGTCAGTTATAGGCTGGCTGGGTCTGTAATACACGCGATACAATATTACAGTGTGTTACGGGTTCGGTGCTTGGGTCAATTAATAAGGCTGCTTAGCTTGAGTATATATTTATTAGTGAAATAAGGGTAATAAGAAAAACCCTTGTCGGGCTTCTAGTTAACTTTTGGATCTTCCAAAATACAGATTACAATTTAGTAGTTACATATGTTATATAATTTGTATCACCATATCACATTATTTATCACAATAAATGAATTATTTTAAAATTACATAGTAAAAATTATACCATTAATATTGTATTGTATTATAATTTCATCTTGTGCATAGGAGAATTTCTTACGAACTGACATCCATAAAGAGTATAATTGATTAGTCAAAATTTTAAATTACGAAAGACGAATAATAAAATGAAATGATGTTGAATTTCAAAAGTAAAAAGTTTGCATACTGAAACCTAGGAAAACAAACGGTGGCATGGCACACCGTTACAAGTGTATCTATTTCAATACCTGACGCACAAAGAAAAATCACGATTCTATTAATATATTATAACAGGAAAGAACAGATATCTTCATTACAAAAGCATTAAAAATGTCTTATTATTACATATTTTCCCTGTTCATATAATTTTCCTCGAGTTGTTTTGTTTGGTTCATTTGTACCAAACGAGTATTATACTTAGTTTCTAGTTTTCATGCGTGTTAACTTCATTTGTGATTTCCAATTTAAAATTAGTTTTCAAACAAAATGTGTAAATACAAAATGATGTCATTTAGGTGGCATAATATGGAAGATCTCTTTGTATCTCTGAGGAAAAAGCTATACAATGCAAACGAGTTACTCATTTCCATCGCATATGTGACGACAGCTATGTTAAGAATAAATAAACTACCTCCATTTTGAAGCCTTTGTTGTTTACTTAATTGGGAACTAATTTTTTGAGCTGTTATTTAAATATTCGAGATGTTACTATGATCAGTTGAAAAACATATGAAGCAGTTATTTCATTTAAAGGCCGTTGATTAATTATTGCGACAGTAAAACATGGATATTAATAAAAAATCAATTAGTCGGTTATTTTATCATACAATGACAATTCAAAAATAATTGAGCAGTCCAATAACTGAATGAGCGGTAAAAATTATGGAATGAGCGGTTCGATAAATAGTTCGACAGATTATAGCGATGTTCATTTCATTGAAAAGAGAGGTAAATACTCGGTGGCGTAGTGGATAAGCGCCGTGACCCGCGATCGTAGTCGTTAAGCAACTTTCGCAAGGGTCGGTCACGGGATGGGTGACCGAAAAATTATTATCTCGAGCTACTCCGTGCTTCGGAAGGCACGTTAAGCCGTTGGTCCCGGCTGCATTTGCAGTCGTTAATACCCTCCAATCCGCATTGGGCCAGCGTGGAGGGTCATGGCCCATCCTCCTTAACCATTCATAAGGAAGGCCTGAGCCCCTGCAGTGGGGACGTAAAAGGGCTGATGATGATACAATTTGTTTTATTCATACAAATTGTTTTATTCAATTTCTTCAGTCAAAGTAAAGTAATTTACTTTTTCATTACTGTTTTTTTATTTTATTTTACCACCTCATTGTTTATAGAGTTGGTTAGGGGGCGTCCATAAATTACGTGAGATGTTTAAGGGGGGGAAGGGGTCGAGGCAAATCTCATCTAATCTTACGTTGGAGAGAGGGGGGGTCTCGGCAAATATCACGCAATTTTTTTTCTGATTGAAACAAAAAAAAAATATTTTGGTCCATTTAATCCAGATTGTACATGCTTAAGATTTAATCTTAAGCGTAATCGTATACGATTAAGATCATTCACAAAGAAAATAATTTCATTCATACTTCGACGCTATACATCTACTGAATGTCAAACCACTATATTTGTAGGGTTCGAACGATACTTTCGATACCGAGTAGGTATCGATACTTTCAAAAGCGATACTCGATACTACAACAAGGCAAATACTCGCAAGTACTCATCAAATTGCATTTTGAAAAATCTCACGTGAGATTGGGAGATGGGGGAGGGGGTTGAATAAAATCTCACGACATCTCACCAGGGGGGGAGGGAGGGACAGAAAATTTAAAAAAACACCTCACGTAATTTATGGACGCCCCCTTAGAATGAGATTTCTTACCAACATATTCCGATTTATTCCCACACGTAACCGCTCGTTCAATAATTTATTATCGCCCATTTAATTATGTTCTTGCTCAATTATATATTCACTGATCATTTCATTATTTTTTATTACTCATTTTTGTTTACTTTGCCGCTTAGTTTTCACTGCTTAACTAGTTATTAAACGTGCCATTTGAAATTTTTAACTTACCAAAACTGCTATTTACAACTGCCTCTTTAAATCAGTGCCATTAAAATTTTGCGTATATCAATCAGTTTCGTAAATGACAAACTATGTACAAAATGAAAAAACGCCGAAGGATAAAACGCTATTTGAATGCGTTTTTGTACGAATAGTTTCATTCGTGTTTCTGATTAATTTCATTATTATTAGCATGCTATTTTTACGGCTTAGCACAGATAGCATGTGCCGTTATTATTAGCTAAAATAAATTTTATTATGGTGAAGAATAACGGCGAATTTCGGTCCTATAATGATGATCGTTCATTAGGTCAATTATTTCTAATTATAATTGAATTTATTCTTAGCAATTTATTTTATTAGTGTTATTCCAATATTAATATTATATATAGCCTAGCCCCGCGCCGCATGTAGAGTAAATGTATGAAAAATGTGTGTTTATATAGGTACACACATTTTTTTTATAGGCTAAACATAACGCGGACCAAATGTCCGGCGCTTTAGTGGAACTCGTATGAACACGCATCAAAAGCTCAAGCGATTTAAACAAGTTGCAGTTATTAGTATTGTACCTACCTTTGAGTGGTGGTGATGACTGGTGGTCTGGCAGTGGTGGTGACGTCAGTACAGCAAACCACGGGGTCCGATCCAACGAACGAACATATCTGAGGAAAACAGCACAACGTTTATAACAACGACAGCCCGCAGCACATGAAGAAAATTAAGCAACTTTCTTTGGATGTTTGTCATCCAAAGAAAGTTGCTTAATTTTCAACGGACAATACACTGAGGAGTGTATGAGGTATGTGTTGGCAAAATAAATTGTTACTCTACACATGGAAAGCACAGTTGGTATCGTGTCTACGGCAGATTCTTTAATCGTCATCAAGGTTCCTCTTGAATGGATTTGAATAGGGAGTGAGCCCCCGATCCGGATTGGTTTTTAACAGATGCAGCCAGATGCAAACGGCTTTATATGTTTTCCGAAGCACGAAAGAGCCCGAGATAATTTTAATCAATTATCCTCTGAACGGCCCTTACATAAGTTGCTTAACATTTACAATGCAGGCAGGAACTAATTGTAAATATTGCACCATGGAACTCCTCAGAGAATTTGAACAGTGTTATATAGATTTAGATAGAGTAAGAAGATATCGTCTTAGTGGGTGTTTACTTTACAGGGACAGAAAATCAATAGATTGATAAAGAAGATTCCATTAGTGATGGATATACTTGCCTGTGGAAATATTTTCTTCTTGAAGTCTTCTTGCGCTGATGTACACTGTTGGATGAGCCTGCAGAATCCTGGGACACCATTCTTAACGCACTTCTCTAGAACATCAATATGTATACCTATATTAATTCATAATAAATCATCCTCAAAATCAGGAAAAATGTGGTCTTCGATCCCGTTATTATTATTAACTAGTCTGGTATTAAAAACAGGTTGGACGACATAAGGATCAATAAAAAGTAATGTGTCGACATTGGCCGTATGAGGACCGGTTCATTTGCCTGTTTTCTTTTTAAGAAAAAAAATAGTGAACCGCGAGTCGATATCGTTCAACAAGTGTTCCGTGTAATAAATAAATGTGACAAATAGTTTTGAAAATAAATATGTTCACTTGAACGAAATTTTGACTCCGATAAAACTATATAACTAAAACGTTTCTCTAATTCTACGTTGAATAGCTAAAGCCATTTTATGTAAATAGCTATTATAGAGTATTTTTAAATATTTTATTTTTTTTACATTCCACAATGTAGTATTACGATAACGATAACGCCGCAGATTGTGGGCGCTGCAGGCCTAAAGGGGGGGGGGGGGCGGTAAAAACTGAGAAAAACATGAGGGCGTTGTTTAGAGGCTTGGGGGGTGGGTGATTTGTAGTTTCATTTGGCTAGAAGACTTATAGGAACATAGACTAATTCTCTCCGCGTAGGTCATATATCTATTCTCTCTTAATTGTTTTGAATATATAAAATAAACATCATGTCCATCGGTCCCTCCTTTTCGGAATAATAATAAAGGCTACACAAACAAACAAATAAAAAGGCTACAGACATACTTTTGTATTTTAATATTTATTAGAATACTAAATATATTCTAATAAATAGAATAGGTAATTTTCGTAGATAGTAGGTGAAAAAATGGGGGCGCTAAAAATAATATATTCTCAAAGTGGGCAGACAAAATAAGTTTGAGAACCCCTGCTATAGGTGCAGTAGTTTCGGAGTCTATTCATTGCAAACAAATCGTTGGAGACCCGTGGCAAATTCATTAGATATTCTTTTTTTTTATTAATTGTGTAATAATAAATGTCAGGAGTACGAAGTCACCTCTGACCGGGGACCCCTTGCAGCTGGGGCCCAGTGGCATTTCGCCGACTCGTCACCCATATAGTTCCGCCACTGAACAATCAATCTACTTATCCTCTTTATAATATTACTATAAATACCTAGTTACATTCTGAGTTGCCCGCCAACAAGGCGAAAATTAAATGACCCAAGTTGGAATCTTGAACGAAGCGAATGCTCAAGAATTTCGTGGTGGAGTGACAAGCCCGTGTTTGAAGTCCTGGATTCGATTCCGGTCGGGTGAATGTAGAAAATGAATATATTGCCTTGGAAGTGTGTAACTTACTTATAAAGTAGGTATATGTAACTTAAGCATTTATTCATTAATATTATTATACGTATGATAATGTCCATATCGTCTAGCGAATGAAGAAGGCATAGATTATCTAGCCTATACGAATAATAATTTTAAACGCAGGTACAGCGAGAAACTTTTTAATCAGCTCCGTGGAAAAATAATTAAACATCTGGAGTGATTAATTGAACTAGTAAATAGTGTTATGTTATTTGTAAATACTAACTTCTTACGTGACATCATTTTCTGTGTGTATTTTTGATATTCTAAGTTTTCGTTTTTAATAGACAAGATAAGTTGCCATTTTTATATAAAAATAGTGTTAAATGGGGAGTTTCCAACAAGTAGTTCAAGTGAATTAAAACTTCAACAAAACTTCCAACAACCACAATTAGCCGGGATTAAATCACGCTAAGTCTTTTATTGAAGGATATTCGCGAAAATTTACAGCAGAGCTTTTAAGAAGCCAGCAGTCCTAACACCCGAGCAATTGAACGGGTTAAGACCCGCTAACCACACTGCAAAAGAAACAGGCACCTATTTCACATGAAATTAAGTGACACTGACATTTGCAAGTACTGTAAACAGGAGCGTGAAACACCAGAACACCTCCTGTGTGAATGCGGGCCATTGATCCACAAACCAAGCATCCATCTAGGACGACGCATAACCAGCGCAGACGATATAAAAGCTCTGAAAGCTGAGAACATCATAAACTTCTTAGAAGCTACCAGGCTAAAGGAGCTAAGACAGGCGGCGAGTCACAAAAGATCTTATAGGTCGCAGTGAATACAGTTCCTTTAGGAACTGAATAGCCCCTTAAACCTAAATAAGAATAATAAAAGATCAGGCTGCTAATTGATGATAGATTGAACTTTTAAATTAAATTACCTACATCATTAACGTAACGCGATCCAATAATATCTGTGAGTGTTATTATCATGCACATTAAGTGAATAACAAAGATATCAATCCGGTCAATTAATTAAATTAATTCCCACTTTTCGTCTGTACCTACAAATAAATATCAAACAAGGGATTTTGTTTTATAAAATATTCAATGATAAAAAACTAAACACAAAAATATTTTAAATACGCACAACATAATCATCTCACAAAGTAAATAAATAATTATGAAGGCACTTGCATACACTAATTACTAATTAATTCCAAAATAATAATAATCTTTTTATTCAAATCAAACAGAACATGTTTTTTATACGTAATTAAAAATCTGGCTTTTTCTATTACAAATTATGTTTTTTGATAGTCCGTAATTCCTCTTATCTATAACTCTCATTTTTGTAATTATTGGAACTTTTGTGTGTGTGTGTGAGCTTGTATGTGTTGTGATAAAAATAAACTTAGTGAACTAAACAGAACTTACCTTCATTTGCAGCTCCGGCAAAATAGAACGTGTAAAATAATAGAACAAAAGCTTTATGATTCATCTTCCTTATTCAAAAACTTAATTTAAAAAATTAAAACATCATTTAAAAAAAGAATTGAAAATACGTTTGTCGTATCTTAACGTAAAGGCGGGAGGATACGCGCGACACACCGGCTGTTATATTGCCCACTAAGGAAAAATGGCGTACGAAGCTTATGCCAGCTGATATCAAGACGACATTACACGTATCATTAGTTGAGGAATTTGGTAAAAAAAAACTACTATGGAAAAACCAGCTGTAATAAATGATCACAGCTGGTTTTTCCATTTTCGATCAAAAATATTCTTACCGCTACAAGAGTAAACTTAGTTAAAGATTTAAGAATTTAATTTATTACTTTTTAACGATTCTTTTATGATTTACGAGGACAAAGTAAGTGCAGACATGATTAAAACAATACACCCTTGACCTTAGATTTTGATAGTCACTATCACTGCAAATAAATCATAATTATTGTTACACTGGCCTCGTCGTTATACCAAGTGACATGTGTGAAGTCCAGTTAAATGTTCATCTCGCAACCTTCAAGAACAACTTAAACACTTGTGTGCTCGATGAGAGCTTTATACAATCGCAATAAAAAGTTCTTTTAAAATGATTCAACCAATTTTAAATATGTTCCGCGTGTGTTATCGTTTTGATGAATATTTGTTTGCCTCAGTATAACTTAAGTCATTTCCTTTCAAAGCTACCTACACAATCATACATATATATTTAACTTACCAAGTTTCTAAGTTACATGTAGCGCAATAAATAAATATATATAGACGACGTATTTTTTACATGCACAATATTTTAAAACATTGTAATTAACAATTTTTGAACCATGTTATACCTTGATAAACATTTTTTTTTGTTTTTCCTCAAGCACTGACCTCAGTCTCATAAGCGATCAGCATTCGTTTAGCCGGGTTTTTGCCATTGACACGTCATAAATAAACTTTATAATTTGTTGCATACATAACACAGACCATTATGTATGTATTATCTATGGCACAGACGTATAAGGCGCTTGTTTACAAAGCAGTTGTAATAGTGTATTATATTCGCGGGTACAATATCTTTTCTTCTATATTGGGCAGAGTTAGCTGATTTTGAATGTTTATCATAGTCCAGGGAAGGTTTAAACCAAGTGAAATGTTGAGAGGTGATGCGAAGTACACCGGGTCATTTAGGTTTTAATAAATTAACTTATTTAAATTACTTACTATTATAAAGAAGAAGACAAGCAAGTGAAGCGAATCCCTTTCAACAGCGAGCCCAACGTAAATGCTCTAAGTAAGGGTGGACGATGCACTGAACTCCTGGGCTATAAACGTGGCTTCAACTGCGCAGTCAGATATGACTGTAGATAAGACATGAAGTTGAATATAGTGACTGCGCACTGTTGCCGATCCGACTGCACGAGATTGCTGCAGTTGTCAGTTTGTTGGTAGCTCAGTTACACTGTTTCTCGCTTTCATTGGTTGGTCATTGTTTTATTGACCAATGAAATAAGCGCGCAGATGTCGCCGCACTCTGCGTATTGACCCCATCGACCAGTGTAACTAAGCCATTATAACGTTTTAAGCGAATAACTTATAAATCGTTTTTTAATAAAAATTAAACAAATGTGTGATTTAATAATTACTTTATTTATCCTTATAGATAATGACCCTTGTACAGAAGCGAAACAAATAAATACATGTATTATTTTGTTACGCAGCCTAATATTCTTTACATGGCAGTGAAACATTAAAATCGAACTGCTGCTAGAGACTTAGTATGGATTAATGAACACGTTATTTAAGTCAAATTATTCGATAATAATTAAAATGCGACTTTATAAAATTAATATTTAATTAGTAAATCAACATTTTTTACATTTAATGGTAATAAATATGGAAAGGTATAGATTTTTTTACTAACTATTTAAATTACTGATAATTACACAGCATGACATACTAGACAACATTAACACATTGTTTTGATCCCCAATTGTCTGAAGCAAGGTGTTGTGCAAATAAGAAAAAATGAAGGTACCACAACCATATATTGTTGAATTGCACTTTTTATAAATTGTCCTTGCCGAGAATAGAATCCGTGACTTCACTACAAAATCAGTGTGCAAGCCATTTGAGCTGTTCTCTACTGTACTTAAATAATTGACACATTAAATTGTTTCTAATTTACAAATCGTTGTACTCATTGTTTTAGCTAATTCAACTATTTTAACAACAGAAAAATCTTGTAATATTCATTGATACTAACAATACAATAAGTATTGATATTACATTTACATTCAGTAAAGAGAAACCCGTATGCACAAATTTAACTTACACTTTAATAATAAAATAGCGGTCCCAAATGATATCCCTGTGGGATTGAAAATTTAACTTTTTAAGATTTAATGAATCTGCTATACTGAGGCATTTTAGATCATGCTTTTCTTATATCTTATAATTCTCTCTATAATTCATAAATTCAGTTAAGTTAAACTAAGATATTGCCATGGATGTCTTTGAAGTCTTGAAATAATACTTGGGCATATTTATGATATGTACTATAACAAGCATACGAATTAGTAAATATGTGTGATAAAAATAGGCGCTTTCAAATTCTTATTCAAACGATTTAGAATGTCACCACCAAACTGTATCAAATATTGTCAAATGCCTATACAAAATCTGTGTAGAATTAGGTTTATTTCTTAAGCCATTATTTGCATATATTATGTTTAAAAAAACGCCTTATTATTTAAAATTAAATTGAATTTTAACTAACTTTTTAGGTGCACCAAATATTTAGACCTTTATTTCATACTTAACCAATATAATAAGTAATTCATTCAATATTCAATGTGGACTCTCTATCTTCTACGTCAAGATTCACATGCATATAACCATTAACTACATAAAGTTCACAGCGATCATTCAAACTGTCTAGCAGTTCATTTGATATCTTGAAGTCTTCATCCTTAAAGTTCATTCTTGATTGGCCTATAGTTTGCAATGAGCTCCTTTTCTCGGTATATTCGTGAACGGTATTGGATGGGGGTAGAGCGGTCTTCTGGACTTGAACTCAACTAAATCCGTTATCACAACAGGCTGGAACAAATGTAGGAATATAATAACACCTATGAATCCTCCTCTTTAAAGTATATTTAATTCAGGTTTGTATAAATATCTACAGCACTATCAATGCTAATAATAAACAAGGTTGAAACTCAGTGTGATTTTACGCTAAAATTGTGTTTTTAGTATTAGTCCAAATTCATATTATACAGAGAATAAGAAACCCAGTACCTTCTAGGAGTATATATTACTTCCATTAAACATTGTACTAGGGTAACTTTGCTAAGTCTCCGTTTAATAATATGAATTTTGACTTACATTAAGGGCAGTCTCAGCGTAAATTTTATTATAAATAAATATCACTGTGTAAGCCTAAAATGTGTTTTGGCTATTGCTAAGTACCGGCATATATAAATTGTAAAAAAAAATGTATCTATCTTCATGAAAAGAACTAACATTACCAATAAAAAGAATCACATACGCACACGATTATTATTTTTGATCCTGATACGAATGTTAGGGAAAAGTGGTGTATTGAAAATTATAACAAACGGATAGTTTCATTTTGTAATAGTGATAATTACAGATGTCTCTTGGTCTATCTTGGTTGGGAGTAGGCTGGTGGTGAATATTTCATGGAAGTCTTGTGTGCGGAGGCGGTTGGTTGACACCAATACAAAGCTTATACCGAGCCTCCCCTGCAACAAGGAAGGATTGAATGGGATCGAGGGGTCGACGGGGTTAGGATGGAACTGAGCTATTTAATGCTGCGTAAATTGGATGGTAATTATGTAATTTGTTTTGACGGTATTATAAATACAACTAATATAACGTTAAGTGAATTTTTTAACGCTTTTAAACCTTATTTAGGATAAAAAATATTGAAACATTATTAAAATTTTAGATTATTCTTGAAATTTTAAATAAAACTGCATTATTCAATTGTTTTCGCCTGAATAATGTTTACGACCTTTCTTGTCAATAGTATCGAAATGTATTAAGCGTTCGTGTGTGTGGAGGAGTTTCATTAATAACGGAGGATAGGAAACTAGAGGTCAGTCACTGGATGGGTGACCAAAAGTTTTTCTCACGGGCTCGTCCATGCTTCCGACGGCACGTTAAGCTAGTCTCGATGTATTTGCAGATCGTTTATACCCACCAATACGCATTAGGCCCGCGTTTTCCCTGTATATGTATCTATAAATACTTAAATGAAACCTCAGAAAGTACAAGTTCTAAGAGTTTCAAATTTTGCGTGGGGTTTTTTTGTAGGAAGTAGATGCTCGCTAAAACGGGAATTTACGAAATACGACCCTTAAGGGTGTGTTTTGGAATTAATCATATGTCCCAGAAATGGGACACTAGTCTGGTGGTGGTGTACTCACGGTGGGCCCGTCCCGTCCCGCCTCGTCGTCCTCCAGTTCCCGTTTAGTCCCGGCGCCGCCGTCGGCGGTGGACACCACGTGCACGGACAGCTTCTGTCTGCTCTCGGACTCCTTCCACACGTGTGTCTGGGTGTTGATGGGCTCGGTTATTTATTACACGTAACAACAGCGGTTACAACAGTCGACTGTGTCTTCTCAATTCATTATACACGGCTACGTGTCAGGTTACGACGGTATGTCAAATTTATCCAATTGATTTTAAACTCTACTTTCAAAATTTTAAGGTCTTAAATTGAGTGGAAAAAATTATCACATTGACAGATTCCCGAGTTATAAATAGTTTAACTAATCGAATTAATTTTATATACAGACTTTTACTACATACGACACTGTCTCAGGGAATATACGTAATATATTTCTAAAGACATAAGCAAAAATCCAATAAGGTAATAAGGCCTAATAAGGCCCGATTATGTGGTAAATTACATTCTTCTAACATTATTGATCAGTCGGTGCGGATTGCAATCGAGACTTATTCTAGTTTAGTTTTTAGCGCTCGAGCAATCAAAAACCATCGGGCCTTATTAGACGTCAGTACCTAATTTACTTCAAATATTTACCTTATAGAACTGTATCAGTTCCTGTTTCGTTATAGTGTTCAATTGCTCAACTTCCACTCTGGGCCGGTCGAAATTGTACATCTGCACAAATTGAATTAATGAGCTGTCAATTGTAATTCAGTGAACCATTACCACTTAAGTACTTATTTTTCAAATTATACCAGTTTCGCTGCACTTCTACTATATTTCCAAAACTCATCAAAAACGACAACGGATAGTGATTAGAACCCGTCAAGTTACCTGTAAACTTAAGCAAAGTCATTAATGAACAAGGTTTACATTCGAGTAAATTTACGTTAAGACTGTACTTGATATTAGCAGTGGTCGGAATTAGGTAGAGTTATTCATGTACTTACACTGATTTCATACAGCGAAAGAATAAAGTGGATATGCCGCAAATCCCGAGATAATTTTTCTTTTTTTTATGATTCTAAGCTAGAAGCAAAAGTGTTCGCTCGTATTTATAAAAAAGGCGAAATATGCGTATGAGAATTTACTTAAGACTATTAATAATTTGTATTGTAAATTAATGTAAACTAATAAAAATTTTATGTTAATTATCTTTGTTTTATTTGTCTATTTCTGACGTTATTATTATTATTTAGTTGTAAGATTGTTGGCCACACGGGATTGTCCACATTAATATCAACATTTCGATGCAAGTACATAAATAACTCTACCTATTTCCGACCTCTGGATATTAGTCAAAATTCATATTATTAAACAGAGACTTGGCAAAGGTTAACCTAGTACAACGTTCTACGGGAGTAATATGCACTCCTAAAAGATAGTAGATTTGCTTTTTCTCTGTATTTGAATTAGGACCAACACTAAAATTGCAATTTAATCTGAAATTTACTCTAACGCTTAACTTTGTTTATTAATAATACTGAAGGAGTGTTGTAATAGCATTGCATTATTATTTTTAAACTGTCTGTTAGCTAACAAGTAATTATAATGTTATAAACGTTGCTAATACATTTAAGTACTTCAGTTTTAAAAAATTGCTAGCCAGAAAGAGAGAAGAAAAGAAAGAAAATTATATTGCCAGCATACATAGCAAATACAACAAAAAAATATAAATAAAGATATGATATATTGATGAATCAGCTTTCTTCATTTCAAACAACAGGGATATTAACGTGGACCTTACTCTGATTGACGGATGTATGTATATATTAGTGTGGACATGCCTGTGACGTAATCTCGGTCCACATCTGCGAGGCTCTAGACGCCATACGCTTGGGCTTCTCCAGCCGCTGTGCTGCCAGAGCAGCTCGATGCTTCAGGAACTCCTCCTCGCTCATGTTCTCCAAGTATTCCTAATAACAACAACATACATAAATTAATACTAACAAACATGTATTAATTACTTTAAGTGTCATATAACGATATGTGCTTAAATTTTAATGTTATTTCATTCTGAAAAAAAAAAATCAGTGAAAATGAAATTGGGTTCGATATAAATGATAGTATATAAACGCACATTGATTGATTGACGATATATATATGTCGGCGAGAAGGCGCTTCGATTGTGCGAAACGCCATCTATCACCTGCAGCTGTCATCTGTCAAGATCTATGGTGCTTTGCGAAACGTCAAGTTATGACATTGACGGCTGTCATCGCTTGGGAGTGGTCTATGCTTGTTCGAAGATGGCACTTTACGTTGTGCGGCCATATTGAGCGGACGCAAGCGCAGAACTCTCCGCGTTTCGTATCGCAATCTGTTTGCATCACGTTATTATTAATGTACTCCGATTAGATAATTAAGTAATTCAACTAAATAACTGATTTGTGATCTATATGCGATCTTATTTCGAAGGAATATCTCGACCACTAGTCAGATTGCGGATGTTGACTAACCTAACTTCCCGCCGGTCACGCATGACTTTCCGACATATATATATATTGTGCATCTGACGACTGGTATCGACATCTGACATTGACTGGCATGACTATATACAATTTGACCCTACTCTTATTTAACTATTTTAATTATATTATTTAGGTAATCATACAAAAAGTTTTTATATTCATTTTTTGTTTGTTACAGTTTTTCTTATTACCCTCTAATAAAGTTTTCAAGCTTATTCATTTGCCTAAGCATCGAACCCTTAACTGGGCAATTACGAGTATATCATATATAAAATTTATATCGTGTGTTACAATGACGTAAATAGTCAAAAAAGGCCAGGGATACTTTCGCACAGAGTGAGCAAAACATTAATTTCTAGCTTATGCCTAGGTACAGGGGCAAGGACGCGTACATCGAGAGTGACAGCATGCATTTCATACGTATAAAAATAAAAAACTTGTTAAAAAAAATATACATTTTTTTTCCTTTTTTTTTAAGTATATACATTTTTATCCTTTCAGTATTTTTCTTTTATTATATTCATTTTTGATATAGCAATACAGATTGCAAGTTGTTTTTCCTGTAATTTTATATATGTTGTTGTTCTCATAAAGACGGATCTAAAGAGGCAAATAACGATGCAGTTGCGTCGTTTCATCACTAAGTTCCTATGACCACCTTCTGACTTCATCATCATATCAGTTCACTGTCACCATAATATTGCATTGCCATCTGTCTTACATGTCTATGCAAAGAATCATGTCCTCTTTCCATACATTGAATGACCTGTCACGTGATTTTTTTAAAGGTCGCGTCTACCCACCAGTAGTGATAATTTAAATTAGATTTGCCTAAAATAGAATAATGTCTTAGCATCTTTTCATTTGGAGGCCAGGGAGATTCGTAATTTATAAATAATATTTTGAGGTTAATAAAGACGTCCTGGACGAGCGGTATGGAAATGTTGGACGAATCAAAAGTACTTTTAAGAAGTCTATTTGAATAAAGATTATTTTGACTTTGACTTTGTCAGAATTGGAGATAATTGTAAATGTACTTTAAAAACTAATTCATTAAAATCAATTTTTTTATAGTTTTACTCGTAAATGTGAAAAAAAAATGAATACTTTTACTTTTTAATCTTACGACGAAAGAATATTTTTTTCCGTAGTAGATGAAACGAAGCGTAGCAAGCCGTCATTGGGCTCGAATCGCATACCGGTAGTAATCATAACACAAATAAGTTCTGAATATACATCATAATTGACAAAAAACTTAGTATGAACAGAATAAATAAACAGCACAACTGTAAAACATTATAACGAAACTGGTTTATAACACTGATAATAATTTGGAATCGGTATTGATGGAATTGGTATTGTTATTGCTTATACTATTGCTTATGCTATTGCGTATGCTATTGCTTATGCTATTGCGTATGCTATTGCGTATGCTATTGCTTATGCTATTGCTTATGCTATTGCTTATGCTATTGCTTATGCTATTGCTTATGCTATTGCTTATGCTATTGCTTATGCTATTGCTAATGCTAATGCTATAGCTACAGCTATAACGGTGCGCGACCTACCAGTGCCCCGTGCAGGAAGGCCTCTATCCTGCGCTCCACATGCGCGGGGTGGCGGTCGCTCTGCACGATCACGCGCAGCCCCTGCGCCCCGTTGGCGCGCCGCACGCCGCTGAACACTATGTAGCCGAGCTGCTCCTAAGGCAAGTATTATATTCTTTAAACTACATTTCAACTCAATAAATAACAAGTAAATAAATAAATATTAGACATCACGTAGATTGCTCAGATTCCAAGGTGAATAAGCTAAAGCCCCCGTATCGTGGAGTATCTGAGACAAAAAAAGTACTACAGCACCCGGACTGAAGACAATATAGAGAAGTTCAGTTTTGGCGACACCTCGAAACCGACGCGCGAACCACTCTGCTACTGAAGTCGTCAATTACAGCGATATATTGAGTTAAAATGTCACATGACGTCACGCCTTTGTACATTTTCTACAAAGGCATGACGTCATACGTTTCCGAATAATTGATAGTGCAAAAAGAAATTATAAGGTATTTAATATTATAAAATATTTGACGGACGAAAAAAAAAAATGGTAAAAAAAATTAAGGCGTAGATATGAGTTTTCATTTAAACATCACACAGTCTAAGATGATTTTAGGCAGATTTCAAACCCCTTTCTGTCATTATATACATAAAAATATCAATCGATTCCTCCCCCTCATTTCAATGCCTAAGAATATGATCGTAAAGAAAATTAAGACACGGTTATTGATTTCTGACGAGGCAAAAGCAATCTTATGAGTTTGTGACAACTGCCACTCGCACTCTATCTATTAAATATTTTGCAAGTGTGTGAGCGAGATGGCAAATTATACCTTCATGTGAAGCAGTAGCGATGAGAGAAGGCAACCAGGTGCACTATTTTTTTTATCCTTTAATACTCATAATGCGTTACGTTAATGCTTTCACTAATAGTACAACGGGCTAATGTCGAGATAAACAAGGAACAAAATTGTGCTCAGGTATAGTCAACAGCACGTCAGCATATACAAAAAAGCTGTCAAATCGCTCAATTCGATTTTAAACTCTAATCCATCGAAAGTAGAGTTCAATTTCAAAAATTCGACATACTATGCCAATCTGTAATGTACATCTGTCTGTATTATAATCATTTGCTACTTCTACTGTATAATTATCGAAGTGTGCGTGAGTTACCTTAGTCCGTAATATATTAAAGCAGGGTTCAGACAGCGCTTGCGCGAGGAGCTCTAAGGCCACGTTCTGACGCGACGTGCGCACGCCACACGCATAGTACAGAGACGCGCACGATGACTTGTGCACACTATTCTCCGTCTCGCGCAAGTACTCTGTACCTGATGTGAATAATAATCTCTTTACTATAAAACCCACAACAGCTCGCGAATATCAATACTCGAAAAAACCTACTGATTGATTAAAGGTTTTGACACAACGCTGTATATTTAAATTAGAATATTTTTATGCGTCAGTTCCCACGGGAACAAATAATGGTTCCCACGGGAACAAATAATGGTTCCCACGGGAACAAATAATGGTTCCCACGGGAACCTGACAATGATCGCTACAGTGTCATTTGTTTTCAATGTATTTATGAATTGTATATTTTACTTATTTATTTATAACCATTATGAATGATAAATGGGTTAACCTTTTTCTAATTCTACCTCCCTGTGCAGTAACAATTGCTGCGCCAACAGCGGTGTAGCATTCTTTGGTAACCTGAAAAAAAATATACGATTTTAATTCTATGATAAAAATGCGTGTTCAGTATATTCCATTTTTTTTTTACTTTTTTGCACGCAAGACTGTACAAATATCGCACTTAATGGCTTTCTATCTCAGTCAACCGAAGCCATGCAAAGATAATAATATGTAAGGCGGCACTTAGAAATAAACCAAGAATGTAAATACTTATAAATATAAATCATTAGTTCATAAAAGTCTATATCCAAGTTATGTGATATAATAATTAAAACTATCGGTAAAAATATATATATGTATAATATAAATATACTAGAGCTTCCAATCTTGGAATACAAAAATCTCGGTTTAGCAGGACCCGCATCTTTTTCAAATCCCGTGTGGCGGGATTACATGCGCGGGATCCACGAGATTTGCGTTACTCGAAAGAAACATGCACGATCGCTCGGTGACTGACAGCAGATGGACGGACAAAATGACTAAACTAAATAATTAAAGCGATAATGACTCTTGTCAACATTCAGTCGAAAATGTTTTTGGTTTATATTATAATTTAGTAGTAATATATTTTGTAGTTAAAAGATTTATTATTTTTTAAACATTTATATCAGTTTTCAATAACAAATAATTGTACTCATGCTAAGAGTAAAAATTTTATAGATGTGAAGTTGTGTTAGCTCAAATATGGTGACCCTACTTAATTAAAAAATTACAAATCCCGTAAATCCCGAGAGTGGAAGCCCTAATAAAGTGGAAGACTAACAAAAAAAAATTATCAACCCTATTGTATGTGATATTAGAGGTCAAATTGTTTAGAGTGTCTGTATGATACTTACTTGTTCTCTATGGTGTCAGCTATCCGCATGGCCCGCTCCCGGGTGATGTTCCCGTACATGAGCCCCTCGATGTGCACCCGCCTTATCATCCTCGACGCGTACTCGTCCAACATCTCCGGCGTCATTGCTATACCATCACCACACATCATCACCTACAGTTGAGTCATCATAATAGGCAACAATCGACATCTATCAGTCTCAACTTCAAACTAAACTTGTAATGTGCCTAAGTATTATTATTTTCAAAATTAAAAAAGGTAGTATTTCAAATTTGTTTATAATATATTTTTATATTTTAACGAAAGTAAGACAATTTACTTTTTACTTTGACAAATTAATATTAAATGACATTAAAACAACTGCATTCGATTTACATTTCTTTGCAAATCATATCGATTCTTATAATTCGATCGAACATTCTAAGCAAGTCACTTCACTATTAAGTTTAGATTGATAAATGTCAAATGTGGCTTTTATAATGACCCAACTCTAACTCCTAAGGTTTTGTTATAATCAGTGGTCGGAATTAGGTAGAGTTATTCATGTACTTACACTGATTTCATACAGCGAAAGAATAAAGTGGATATGCCTCCAATCCCGAGATTAATTTTAAAGAGCAGAAAGAATCCCGTGATTTTTTTAATAAAAAGTTATTTACTTTTACACAATTTAAACTACTGCACGCACGACGTTGCCAAACTTACATCAATGAAAGAAGGAAAAATAAAAAATACCCGGGAATGTCCACATTAATATCAACATTTCGATGCAAGTACATAAATAACTCTACCTACTTCCGACCTCTGGTTATAATCTAAAATTATTAAAAGAATTTATTTTATAACTTTATTGTCATTAGAATTGTAAGAAAACAAGCGAACGCGTCTTTACACTCAATGCCTATTTATAGGAACGTAAACGATGGTACAGCCCTATTACGTCCCCACTGCAGGGGCTCAGGCCTTGCTTTTGAATGGTTAAGGAGGATGGACCATAGAAATCCACCAATCAACTGTCTACACTGGCCCAATGCGGACTGGAGGGCATTAGCGACTGCAAATGCAGCCAGGACCGACGGCTTAACTTGCCTTCCGAAGCACAAAGTATTTAGAGAAATTTTTTGGTCACCCATCCCGTGACCAAGTCTTGCGAAAGTTGCTTAACAACAACATTCGCGGGCCATGGCGTTTAATCACTACGTCACGATCTATATGACCCATCAAGCGGGCCCGGGGCTCCCCGAGTGACTCTATTTATAATAACACCTATACAGAAAACAATGAAGGCATTGAAGTATTACGTATACTGACAAAAAGAAAACAGTGTAAAGAGATAGTTTCTCTATATAGTTTGTAGGGGGCAATCTTCGGAATTACTGGACCGATTTTAAAAATTCCTTCACCTACGGAAAGCCACTTCACACGCGGGTGATATAGGCTATTTACGCGGGCGAAAACGCGTGAAAACAGCTAGTGTCAAATAAAATGAATACAACTGACTCTCGGCGGCGTCCATGAGCTGGCAGCGAGTCCACACCACGTCCGATAAGCACAGCGCCTGCTGGTACACAGCGTGCTGGACAACACAAACGTATACATTAGTTAGATGGGTAGAATTAAGCCACATTGCTACCATGTACCACAGATACACTAATTAAACAGAGGCCTCATCCCTTAAAACAAATTGTGAACATCCTAAGGGCGCTTGTGCACTACACTGAATTATCAGGTCCGGCGGTCCGATTTTTTCCGGTCCGGAATGACATGAAAAACTCGGATGAGTAGCTTGTGCACTTGTCCGTTTTTTTCCTGATCGGAGCGGCGCAGTGTAGGGCAGCTCTCTTTGAAGCTACACGTCACTTACGCTAGGTACGATGAGATTTTTGGAACGTCGGTAATTCCGTTCGAAGACGTAGAAAGGTACCTAAATAATGATCTGATCGTTTTACATAAACCATAATAAATTATGGCAAGACGAAAGCATTTTTTTACTAATATCGGATGACTACTATCAGATGTAAAAACTTATACCCTTACTAATTTAGGAACAGCATTATTCACATACAATAGCTAAAAATATCTGTGACATTAGAATAAAATTACTGATAATGGTCTAGTACTTGATGTTCAAATTTTTAAACGTGCTATTTTTTTTCGAAGTTTTGAAAAAACAACTTTCAGCGATTACAGAGATAGACCAATCGGTGGCGCCATTTCGTAAACAAATCGAAATTAGTGCCGTGTTAGCGGAGAATCATTACGCTAAATGAACTTTACGAGATCAGTTGACTTTATTATATATAGGCATAATTTTCTACACGTGGTGTAGTTTCTTAGAGCAGAAATATTATTCCCTTAGAATAGTTCTTTTTTTTTAAATTTATTAATGACACAAACATACATTTAAAATTTTATTAAATGCGAAAAAGACATTGAGTGTCACTTAATTACTTTTGTTAATCTTCTGTTTATTCTTTATTATTACCTTCTGTTGTCAAATATTTATCTAAACTTATCAATTATCTAAAAAAATTTGATAATGACAAATTTCCAGGCAAACTTTCGTCCCCTTTTATTCGCGATAAAATGTAGCCTATATCTTTCTTAAAGTTAAGTCTATTTACTATATTAATTTCCATTTAGATGGGTTCAGTTGTTTAGGCGTCTAAGCGTAACAACACTTATTTATCTTACCTTAAACTATCGATACTTTTAATACGATTCTAAAATTAGCTAAGTATCGATACTAGAACCATACGCTGATCAAATTAGAACTATACCGAGTTTGCTAAAGCATATGTAGTGATATATACCAACTATATTAAATCATCATATATGTCGCATCATCATTACGGAGATCGTTTGATTTAGTTTCTTTTATTTTAATTGCTAGTTACTCGATTACTTAATTACTCGATTGTAAAGAGAGCGTGATCATCGATAACCTTAATTTTATTAGAATGGTGACACTGACTTTGACAGTTCGTTAATAAAAAGCAAGTTGCCGCCATTTTTGCACACATTCTGTTACCGATCGCCGAGGTGTAAAGACATCCGATGACATCACGCTCATCTCGTTATAGTTTCGTATGAAAAGTGATAAATGGAACAAATCCACGTTGGTATACACGCCTGCAGTGTTATTTTAAAGATAGTCCTCCGATATGGACGATCTATTTGGGCTTCGTAATAGGCCCCTCTGACTACCCGCCGTTATATAAAATATAGCATTTTATAATCAACAATAAATATCGATTATAGTTTATTAGAAATTAACAATATTGCCAAAATAAATATCGATTCAAATCGATTATTTTTTCCTAAGCCCAATCCTTATCAATTTTCCGGATCTCGGACACAGCAGTGCACACGCGTAAACACGTTTTTCATTGCCGCCATCATGACCCTGAAAAAACCGGTCCGGAATAGAGAAAAGTAAAATTCCGAACGGTAAAATTCCTGACAGTGCACAAGCGCGCATTACCTACATAAGGCTTGACATATCGGACCTGAAAAAATCGGACCGCCGGACATGAAAATTCAGTGTAGTGCACAAGAGCCCTAACTCGGAATATTTTCTCTTACTTGAGTCGGCGCTAGATGCGACAAGTGGGCAAGCGATACTTAGAATTGGACTTGGATTTGTTTGTCAATCCAAGTCCAATTCTAAGTGTTGCTTGTCCAATTCTAAGTCTTGGTTTGTCAAATTTATTTAATTAATATCGAGAAAAATAAAACACTTGAACAATTTAGTATTTGAAACAGTTAATCATCAGAATATTATATAAATAGTATATTGTTTTTGTGAATATATTAAAAGGACTAAAAAGAAAATGTGTATTTGTGTAAAAGTTCACGTTTATATGCGAAAAAAAATAAGCTTAAATGTATAATGTTGTTGTCTAAATGTTATCAGTGGTTATTTGTTAGTGAGCTGTTTATTAACTTTAATAGAGGGAATGTTTATGTAAAAGATTGTAGTGTTTATGTGTGATTTAGTAAATGTGTATGTGTTAGAGAATAAGTGTTTATGTGTGAGAGAATAAGTGTTAATGTGTGAGAGAGTAAGTGTTTATGTATGCTTTCATACATAAACACTCGAGTGTTTATTCGTTATAGGGTGAACGTGTACTTGTGTCTGTCTGCGTGTATATGTGTAAAGCTCGCCTGGTACGGTTGCTCCGCCTCGAAGTTCTTGATGGCGCGGATGTGGTTCTCCTTCATGATCTGGAACCTTTGCGGGTCACACTTGAAGTTCACCAGGTGGTCTACTATCTTCTCCAGGAGGACGTTCTGTTTGTCGTCGTAACCGTCTATCGTTATCTGAATAATAAAAAAGTCATGGATTCGATTAACTATTTTTACTACTTCGTCTTATACTTTACATGTCAGCCAAAAGAAGTTATGGATGGAATTTTTCATAGAAAAAAAAATGCTTTCAATCTAAATATCTCATAGGATATTATCCCTTTCAAATAACACCTCATTTGTAAGTCCACTGAACATTGAACCTCGTGCGCGGTGTAGAATGTGATGGGTGACCACATATTCACTGCAATCTTATCAGAACCTCTTTCAACGGCCGCATTTACCACTGAACTCGTCAAATATCAATTTGAATGTAAAGCGATGGATGGTGTGTACCAGGATGGGTGTGCACTCACGCTGAGTCCGTACTTGGCGTTGCCGAGGCTCCAGCGCAGCCCCGCCAGCTCGGCCGCGTACGCGAACTGCTGGAGGCCGTCGCGCAGCAGCAGCACCCACACGGACGTCAGGTTGCAGCTCAACGGGTCAGAGTACGCCAGGGGACTTGATCAAGTTAAATAGAAAATGGACAATTCTAAAAATGTTACAAAATTCAAATGAACTTATTTTAAAATCAAAATAGTAGTTTATACAACTGTCATATAAGAAGGGGTATTAAAACGCGGGAGTCTGTTAATAGGTTCACTCTCGTGTTTTAAGACCTAAGTTATATGCAGTTTCATACACTACTTTATCATCACTCATAGGAAAAATTGAAATTAAACAGGTTACAAGGAAGATTTTTTTTTGGAATCGCGGATACAAAAAACGATCGGCATACAAATTTATGGGAAGCGCGGGAAATTAAGTTCAAACTGCGCATGCGTGCGCCATTTTTTTCATATTCAGCCTAAAACCACAGACTACTTTAATGAATAAAAAGAGGATAGCGGTACTATAATGAGTTTTATTTTTAATTTTATATATATGCGTTTATAAATTGCGTACGTATAGAATCGTCTTTGAATTCATAATTCAAATTTTGCCGATTTAAGTGTAGATAAAACATCTTTTAAAGTCGAGTAAGTCATTAGAGACCATCCAAATGATAATCAAATTTAAGGTAACAGTAAGCGAAGTTCCTTGATTACACATGCATTACCTCACTAGATCCAATGTGATCACCGCCTTCGGTAGAAAGAATTCATTGTCACGTTTAAACCATAACCGCATCAGAGGAGAGTCCTATACAAACAAACAAAAAAATATGTAAACCTTACTAGGTCATGTACTAATAAATTCTATCCAAAAAGCGTTAATCATTAAAAGAAAAACATATTTTTATTCATTAATTTACATTGTCCCTCGAAAAGAAACAGCCACCTGACATTTCAAACCGTGACGTCACATTTTAATAAGGCGATGAAGTTTTATTGAAATGTGACGTCACACGATACTCCCTCATGGCCGCCCGGTTTTCGATTCTTGTAATCAACAGACTATATACATCTTATATTAATTTTGCAAAAAAAAAATGCTTAGTTTATTTGAAAACATAAAATACTGTATTTGTTTACATATAAGTAACCATTATTTATTACTATATCTGTCAGGAAACCAATTCCCTTTGGGCATTCAATTAAAACTGTCATATGACGTAACAAACTAAATCTGTCAATTTACCAATACATTTTGATATTTTCTCAATTTTCTCGTAGATAGGTATGTGAAGGTCTGAATACTATACCTTGATGATGGCAGGAGCTGTGCCGTCTAGCGTGGGATCATCAGATGTCTCCAAGTCTAGTCTCGTGGGTATGAACTCGTTGGGTGGCGGCATGTGGAGTTCTGGACCCGGCGACGCCGCTGTCCATTCCTGGAGTCACATGTCGTATTTAGTGTTACTATAAAACACCAAATTTCTCCAACCCATTTTTAAACCTTAATCAATTGTAATAAACTTTAAAATGAATTACAGAACTTTGGCCCTATTACATTTATATTTAGTTTCTATCTTTCTTAAAGTCTAGACTCTATTCAGTGTTCAAAGACCGATGAAACAAAAAGCTTTATAATTATTGCTACATGACACTTTACCTTGATTTTCTCTGGTTCAATGTCCTCTTGTAAGTACTTGGTACCGTACCACCGCTCAGTCTGCGTACACTTCTCGGAGAAGCATCTGAAAGCGATCACATTGGATCACACATCATAAATATTATTACTGAGCGCAGCGGCGCGATGTTTCGTCTGCTTTTACTAGATGGCGTTACATATCATCTGAATCGCGCTAGCACCGTCGAAATTGCTCGTGTAATTATACGATGCCGAGAAAGGGAGGGTCACGGGGGAAAAAAGGGACGGGTAGCCGTTCTAGAACGTTTTGGAAATGCTGCGAGTACACCCGTAGGGCTGAGGCCTACCTAACTTAGAACATTCTAGACGTGGTAAAATCTACCTGTCGTAAGCTGCCCATCCCAGCATTCTTTTAGTGATCAAGTGAACTGAATGCGAGAGCCAAAACAAGCTATATTCGAAGCGATCGTGCGAAAAACGACAGCGTAGTAAGAGTCAGGAACGAGCAGAGCCCGCGATTGATATGCGAGAACGGGACAGACGATTAATTAAGCAAAGAAATTTTAAATATTGCTTATATTCTAACACTGACTTCCTCTTATTTTCTTTTACTCAACATTCGGTAAACGTACTTCTTTGACGAGAGTGACAAAACGAGTTACGTTAGTCTTGGCCTATCCATCCTGTTGGATCCCATCTATAAGGAAGGCCTGTGCCTTGAACATTAGTAGGATGATGAAATGATAATATCTTTATTCAAGTAGGCTTATTACAAGCAGTTTTGAATCGTCCAAAAAACAGTTTTTTTTCCCTTACTACTCGTTCAGGACGTCTTTTAGCTGACAAGAAGAACAAGCGAAAGAAACTTACCAGCTCTTTATCATAAGTAATGACATTTACATAAATCATGTCATTACCAAAATAATATGTATTACAACAATAATAAATACAACATTCAAAGTCTGTAGGACATATAATACATATAATTAGTCGTTACGGAACAAAGCGAAGGCCATTAATTTCATGCCTTGCGATCCTTAAAATAATCATTAACTTTACAATAGCCTTTACTCATAAGTGTGTTCTTTACACGAATTTTAAATTTATCGATAATGATATAGTACTGACTTGGCGACGGTGCCGACCCGTACGTTCTCGGGCACCAGGTACGCCAGCAGTTCGTCTATGAGCTCGGGCCGCCACTCCGACATCAGGTAGTACGCGCTCAACACGTCCTCCATGGGGAACTCCTGCACAAATATATTACGTTTGAATAAAACTAACTTTCCACCGGCACCTTCTCTCGCGTGGTTCCTAAGGGAACCGTTCTAAAAAGAGGGTTTATAAGAAGATAATTAATTGAAGCCCTATTCATTGACTGTAGCGCCCAAGTACTTCATTGACCTCAGCTAGCAAAAGCTTCATTAAGCTCAGCAACAGCAACACATTGAATTGACCTTAACGCCCAAGTACTTCATTTACTTTAGCGACGAAGTACTAATTTGACCTCAGCTACCAAGGGCTTCATTGAGCTCAGCACCCAAGTACTTTATTGACCTCAACGCTACTGTACTTCATTGACCTCAGCAACCACACACTTAATGACCACATCGTCCAAGAACTTCTTTGACCTTAGTAACCACACACTTAATGACCTCATCGTCCAAATACTTCATTGACTTCAGCAACCAAATATTTATTGACCTCAGCGCCCAAGTTAACCATTGACCTCAGCAACCAAGTTAATCATTGACCTCTGCGACCAAGTATTTCATTGACCTCAGCAACCAAATATTCATTGACATCAGCGCCCAAGTTAACCATTGACCTCAGCACCCAAGTTAATCATTAACCTCAGCGATCAAGTACTTCATAGACTTCATCTACCAAGTTAACCATTGTCCTCAGCAGGTTCACCTACTTATGTGACCTCAGCAATCAAATATTCATTGACCTCAGCGCCCAAGTGCTACATTAACCTCGGCGACCACACACTGAATTGACCTCAACGCCCAAGTACTCGATTGACTTTAGCGACAAAGTACTAATTTGACCTCAGCTACCAAGGGCTTCATTGAGCTCAGCACCCAAGTACTTTATTGACCTCAACGCTACTGTACTTCATTGACCTCAGCAACCAAACACTTAATGACCTCATCGTCCAAGAACTTCATTGACCTAAGATACCACACACTTAATAACCTCATCGTCCAAATACTTCATTGACTTCAGCAACCAAAAATTCATTGACCTCAGCGCCCAAGTTAACCATTGACCTCAGCACCCAAGTTAATCATTGACCTCTGCGACCAAGTACTTCATTGACCTCAGCAACCAAATATTCATTGACATCAGCGCCCAAGTTTACCATTGACCTCAGCACCCAAGTTAATCATTGACCTCAGCGATCAAGTACTTCATTGACTTCATCTACCAAGTTAACCATTGTCCTCAGCAGGGTTACCGACTTTTGTGACCTCAGCAATCAAATATTCATTAACCTCAGCCCCCAAGTGCTACATTAACCTCGGCGACCACACACTGGATTGACCTCAACGCCCAAGTACTCCATTGACTTTAGCGACAAAGTACTAATTTGACCTCAGCTACCAAGAACTTCATTGAGCTCAGCACCCAAGTACTTTAATGACCTCAACGCTATTGTACTTCATTGACCTCAGCAACCACACACTTAATGACCTCATCGTCCAAATACTTCATTGAATTCAGCAACCAAATATTCATTGACCTCAGCGCCCAAGTTAATCATTGACCTCTGCGACCAAGTACTTCATTGACCTCAGCAACCAAATATTCATTGACATCAGCGCCCAAGTTAACCATTGACATCAGCACCCAAGTTAATCATTGACCTCAGCGATCAAGTACTCCATTGACTTCATCTACCAAGTTAACCATTGTCCTCAGCAGGATTACCGACTTTTGTGATCTCAGCAATCAAATATTCATTGACCTCAGACCCCAAGTGCTACATTAACCTCGGCGACCACCCACTGGATTGACCTCAACGCCCAAGTACTCCATTGACTTTAGCGACAAAGTACTAATTTGACCTCAGCTACCAAGGGCTTCATTGAGCTCAGCACCCAAGTAATTTATTGACCTCAACGCTATTGTACTTCATTGACCTCAGCAACCACACACTTTATGACCTCATCGTCCAAGAAGTTAATCATTGACCTCTGCGAAAAAGTACTTCATTGACCTCAGCGCCCCAATTACCCATTGACCTCAGCACCCAGTTAATCATTGACCTCAGCGACCAAGTTAACCATTGACCTTAGCACCCAAGTTAATCATTGACCTCAACGACCAAGAACTTCATTGACCTTAGTAACCACACACTTAATGATCTCATCGTCCAAATATTTCATTGACTTCAGCAACCAAATATTCATTGACCTCAGCGCCCAAGTTAACCTTCGACCTCAGCACCCAAGTTAATGATTGACCTCAACAACCAAGTACTTCATTGACCTCATCTACCAAGTTAATCATTGACCTCAGCACCCAAGTTAATCATTGACCTCAGCGATCAAGTACTTCATTGACCTCAGCGATCAAGTACTTCATTGACCTCAGCAAGCAAATATTCATTGACCTCAGCGCCCCAGTTGCCCATTGACCTCAGCACCCAAGTTTATCATTGACCTCAGCGACCAAGTACTTCATTGACCACAGCAACCAAATATTCATTGACCTCAACGCCCAAGTTAACCATTGACCTCAGCACCCAAGTTAATCATTGACCTCAGCGACCAAGTTAACCATTGACCTTAGCACCCAAGTTAATCATTGACCTAAACGACCAAGAACTTCATTGACCTTAGTAACCACACACTTAATGACCTCATCGTCCAAATACTTCATTGACTTCAGCAACCAAATATTCATTGACCTCAGCGCCCAAGTTAACCATTGACCTCAGCACCCAAGTTAATCATTGACCTCTGCGACCAAGTACTTCATTGACCTCAGCGCCCCAGTTACCCATTGACCTCAGCACCCAGTTAATCATTGACCTCAGCGACCAAGTTAACCATTGACCTTAGCACCCAAGTTAATCATTGACCTCAACGACCAAGAACTTCATTGACCTTAGTAACTACACACTTAATGACCTCATCGTCCAAATATTTCATTGACTTCAGCAACCAAATATTCATTGACCTCAGCGCCCAAGTTAACCATTGACCTCAGCACCCAAGTTAATCATTGACCTCTGCGAAAAAGTGCTTCATTGACCTCAGCGCCCCAGTTACCCATTGACCTCAGCACCCAGTTAATCATTGACCTCAGCGACCAAGTTAACCATTGACCTTAGCACCCAAGTTAATCATTGACCTCAACGACCAAGAACTTCATTGACCTTAGTAACCACACACTTAATGACCTCATCGTCCAAATACTTCATTGACTTCAGTAACCAAATATTCATTGACCTCAGCACCCAAGTTAACTTTTGACCTCAGCACCCAAGTTAATAATTGACCTCAACAACCAAGTACTTCATTGACCTCATCTACCAAGTTAATCATTGACCTCAGCACCCAAGTTGCCCATTGACCTCATCACCCAAGTTTATCATTGACCTCAGCGACCAAGTACTTCATTGACCACAGCAACCATTTGGTTGCTGTGGTCAATGAAGTACTTGGGCGTTGAGGTCAATGAATATTTATTCATTGACCTCAACGCCCAAGTTAACCATTGACCTCAGCACCCAAGTTAATCATTGACCTCAGCGATCAAGTTAACCATTGACCTTAGCACCCAAGTTAATCATTGACCTAAACGACCAAGAACTTAATTGACCTTAGTAACCACACACTTAATGACCTCATCGTCCAAATACTTCATTGACTTCAGCAACCAAATATTCATTGACCTCAGCGCCCAAGTTAACCATTGAACTCTGCACCCAAGTTAATCATTGACCTCTGCGACCAAGTACTTCATTGACCTCAGCGCCCCAGTTACCCATTGACCTCAGCACCAAGTTAATCATTGACCTCAGCGACCAAGTTAACCATTGACCTTAGCACCCAAGTTAATCATTGACCTCAACGACCAAGAACTTCATTGACCTCATCTACCAAGTTAATCATTGACCTCAGCACCCATTCAATCATTGACCTCAGCGACCAAGTTAACCATTGACCTTAGCACCCAAGTTAATCATTGACCTCAACGACCAAGAACTTCATTGACCTTAGTAACCACACACTTAATGACCTCATCGTCCAAATACTTCATTGACTTCAGCAACCAAATATTCATTGACCTCAGCGCCCAAGTTAACCATTGACCTCAGCACCCAAGTTAATCATTGACCTCTGCGAAAAAGTACTTCATTGACCTCAGCAACCAAATATTCATTGACATCAGCGCCCAAGTTAACCATTGACCTCAGCACCCAAGTTAATCATTGACCTCTGCGAAAAAGTACTTCATTGACCTCAGCGCCCCAGTTACCCATTGACCTCAGCACCCATTTAATCATTGACCTCAGCGCCCAAGTTAACCTTTGACATCAGCACCCAAGTTAATCATTAACGTCTGCGACCAAGTACTTCATTGAACTCAGCAACCAAATATTCATTGACATCAGCGCCCAAGTTAACCATTGACCTCAGCACCCAAGTTAATCATTGACCTAAACGACCAAGAACTTCATTGACCTTAGTAACCACACACTTAATGACCTCATCGTCCAAATACTTCATTGACTTCAGCAACCAAATATTCATTGACCTCAGCGCCCAAGTTAACCATTGACCTCAGCACCCAAGTTAATCATTGACCTCTGCGACCAAGTACTTCATTGAACTCAGCAACCAAATATTCATTGACATCAGCGCCCAAGTTAACCATTGACCTCAGCACCCAAGTTAATCATTGACCTCTGCGAAAAAGTAATTCATTGACCTCAGCGCCCCAGTTACCCATTGACCTCAGCACGTAGTTAATCATTGACCTCAGCGACCAAGTTAACCATTGACCTCAGCACCCAAGTTAGTCATTGACCTCAGCGACCAAGTTAACCATTGACCTTAGCACCCAAGTTAATCATTGACCTAAACGACCAAGAACTTCATTGACCTTAGTAACCACACACTTAATGACCTCATCGTCCAAATACTTCATTGACTTCAGCAACCAAATATTCATTGACCTCAGCGCCCAAGTTAACCATTGACCTCAGCACCCAAGTTAATCATTGACCTCT